GAAGGAGGTGGACAACTTCTCAAAGGGAAGGGGCATGCCCTCTACTTTGCCTCTTACCTCTGCCTTGCTGGCTGACATTCAGCCATAACATTGGTAGCCCTCTTGCACGTTGCCATTTTGGATCCTCCCAAGGGAGCCACGGGGTGACCCACGGAGGAGCTGTCACAGCAGCGCTGGTCTGCCAATGCATGGCTTGTTGTTACATGAGAAAGGAAGACACCAAGTACCTGACCCCTTTTACTTTAAATCTCTGCACAAGAGGTCAAATGTCTACTATACTGAAGAGAATGGCCTTGTGATTTTTATCTCACATGTGCCAATAGGACTTTATCTTGCATGTGAAAGTCTAGGTCAACCCAAGGGAAACATTTGATGGCAGAAATTACACCTTTTAGAAGTCCCTGAAAGGAAATTGAAAGTACAAATACTTTATTTTTCATAATGAACTATTTTATTCACAAAATGTTTTTTTAATTGAATAATAATTGACATACAGTGTTATATTCATTTCAGGATTACAACATAGTGGTGTGACAATTCTATAGCTTCACAAAATACTTTTAACTACATTACTTTCTTTACTTCTTGAAACAACACTGTGAGTAGAGTATTGGTCTCCACTCTATCCTTATCACCCAGTGGATAGGGACTGTATTTTAATCATCTTTCTACCCACATCTCCTGTATGCAGGAGTATGGTCTAGCATGCAAATGTGTTTAGTAGATATCTGATTAATAAAAGCATTTGCAAATGCTTGGATACATGAAAAATATGGTTCCCCCATTTTCAAGATATTCAAGAACTTACCAAGATGTTAAGTGACTTGCTCCAAGTCACACAGTTCATAAGAGATAAAGTCAGAAAGCTATGCCCTCTGAGTTGACACTTGGCTTCAGATTTTACCCAAAGAAGACAGGAGGCAGGAGAAAGAGAAAGAGGAGTGAGCTGCGGGGAAAATAGAGAAAGGGAGAAGACAGGGTATAAGTAGAGAACTTACTCCTTGACTGGGACATTCTGCCTAAAGGGAAGGAAACAAATAAACTAGGGATATCCTCACTTGGAATCCTGGGGTGGTGCCCAGCCCAGCAATAGGGAACAGGCACATCAAAATCCTGCCTCTCGCTGGAGGCTAGCACGCCTCAGAGCACGCTCAGTGCTCTCAGCTCTCTGAACCTCAGAGCTGCTCTGAGTCACTTTCCTGCTGGCAGATTCGGGACACAGATACTCTCCCGGGGTAATGGATCTTTCTGTAAATAAAGATCGTTTAAGAAAACCAGCCCCACTAGCTGCTTATGTTTGCCGGGAACAGAAACGAGTGTGTCTTTTCCCTTAAATCCTTTTTGTGTGCTTTTAAACCTTCCTGCTTGCACAACCTGAAAGAGAATTATTAAACCCAGATTTAAAAAAAAAAATTGTTCTGCAGCTTTAAAGTTTGCCTGCCTTACTCATCTAGTGGGGAGGATGTGGGTAGGGCCACATGATGTCAAGTAAGCAACAAAACCATGACATTCATCTCAGGCTGTAACTGACAGCACAGAGCCAGGATGACCAGAAATCACAGATCCCTCCTCCAGGGCAGGTGGCAAAGGCTGGTCCCTGGTGGTCTTAGCCACAGCTCCCAGGCAGGCTAGTGCCCGTTTGAAGGAGGGGCTGTTTTGAACACAGACTTACAGCAGATGTGAGGGGCAAAACCAGCCCTGGTGTGTAGGGAGTGCAGTGGTAACCTAGACTGGCTGTAGCCCGAGGCTGCAGGATCTGTTAAGCACCTACCACTCACTCGCCAGTCCCTGGTGAGGCCCGTCCACTTCCTTTATCTTTATTTCATTTTGTTTCAGATCATTTCATCTTCCCAGCAGCCCTCTGAGGTAGGGATCCTGACCCACCATTACAGACAGTGAAAGTGGGACTCAGTGACACGTACCCTCCAAATGCACCCTGCTAGTAAATGCAAATCTGCAATTCCCTCCTGTTCACTTTCCACTCCACTATTCACCGTCTACTCCAGCAAACATCACCTTTGCCATTCAGAGAATCTGCCTACACTCCTAAGTGAGCAAAGGAGAAATAAAGACAAAATCCCTGTAGAGGGGAGGATAGGGTGGGTGTGCCTCTGTCTGTAGTCTCCTGGGAAGAGCCTCAGGGACTCTGCTGGCTTTCCAAGGCCCCAAGCCAGAATGGGATGACACAGACCACAGGGTGCATTGGGGAGGGGGGGTAGCCCCTGCTCTGGGGCTAATGAGGCGTAACCACCGCACTCCAGGCACCAGAGCCATCCAAGGCCTCTGGAATCTTTTATGGCAGGTCCACTAAAGTTGCAAATCCTAGTGGCCATAGTATATTTTCAAAGGCTTAACCAGCTCAGTAAGAAGAATGCTCTGGAATCTTCACTAATTCAGTGAGGTCTGTTTCCAAGACATGGGGCTTAGAGTCCAAGAATCTTACTGAGTATCATCTGGGCTGCTTAACAGAGGAAAAATCAGAGCAAGTTCAAGGTGTCGGTGACTGTGATGGAAATGGGCTCTAGTGAGCATGAAATTAAATCAAATAAAAGCGTGGAAAACCTTGAAAAACCCCTTCCTGTCTTAAATGAAAGCCACAGAAAATGTATATGAGTAATTCCTTGATGTCCAATTTTTTCTATCAAAGTAAATCCTTTCAAAGGGTTAGAAGAGTTAGGGACAGCATGTGGCCTTTCAAACACACCCTCACATGTAAATAATTAACACAATATCTGTCCTGTCAGGATTGTTTTTACTACCACATTTCACTAAACCATTATTTTAAAGAGGTCTTTGGTTTTCTTATGAATGTGAAAGAATATAATCCATGGCATGGAAACAAACATATATGAAACACATTGTGGAAAATCGCACGTGATAAGTTCTCAAGTCAGTATGAAGAAAAGACGGTAATATGATATTTTCATCAATGTTGAATTGTAACTGGGTCTATTTCATGATACTTCGCAGGGTTCTGTGATGGATGATGAAACTCTTATCCCATGAAATACCCTATGTCAGAGCAGGTGAAGATACATAGAAGTCCATTTAGTATAATTCAACAAACATTTACTGAGCACATACATGTACCTGGAATTCTATCAAGTATTAGAAAGAGTGAAAGTTGAACAAGTCAAATCCATATCCCCACACCGCACCCCCCATCCCACTTCCAGCCCCTTGAAGCTCACAATGTGGGTGAGATGAAATTGCAGGCATCAATTTCAAGTAACGTATTTTCTCAAATCTCTGAAAACAGGATGCATCTTACAATCAACAACATGTCAGAATGTAATTGGCAGAGCTTTTTCTTTCTTAATGACACATAAAATAACAGAATAACTTACCATCCATGACAATAAAGTTTAGATTCAATGAAATATGATGATTATTGCATAAGGCAGAACAGAGACAGTGCCAAAACAAAGATATCCAAAATTTGCTTTCAAACTGAAATGTACTGTCCCTCCCTGGAAGAGTTTTTGTAGTTGAAGAACTGAAGCCCTTAATGGGTAATTCAAGGTAAATAAGTAGGAATGATTACACAAAAGCACTTATAAATTGTTTTGTTCATAATAATAAAACAATGAAAGTGCACTGGTATTTCACACAACTTTAAGCAACAGTAATGGATAAGATTCATTTCTATTTATTTTGCTTCTTTGAAAATTTTCAGGATTTCAGGACTTCTCTTCTGGTCGGAATAAAATTTGTTTTACATACCTGCTGGTAATATGCACACTAGGAGAGGTTTTATTTTCCAGAATTGGGCCTTTCACCCAAATATTCAATTTTCTCTTGAGTGCATGGCTTACAGTTATTACTCAGTCCATGGGTCATTGACTTCCCAGAAATGAAAAACAATGTGAATGCTTATTTTTTAATAGCATTTTATATTGTTTTTTAAGTAGGCTCCATGCTCAATGTAGGGTTTCAGCTCATGACCCTGAGGCCAAGAGTCGAACGCCCTACAGGCTGACCTATCTGGGCACCCCTAGAACAATGTGAATATTTATGATGAGAAACAAATAACAAAGAAAACTTTGGGGGAACATTTTTTTCAATATTTTCAGCTTAGTGTATTTCCGATAGGTATTTCTCAATGAACAAACCTTCTCACTAGTTTTCTCCTCTTCATATCCTCCATATACCCTATGCTGCAGCCACAGCAGGTTGCTGCAAATCCCTAGGCCTGCTTTGTACTGTCCATGCCTCATTGTCTTTGCTTCTGCCTTTTTTTAAATTTTTTTTTAATCTTTTTTGCCTGGAATGCACTTACCCTCTCTCTACACTTGGAAAGCTGTTGCTCAGCTTTCAAAAACCAAGTCTAATATCACTGTCTTGTCTTAGCTTTCCCAGGAAAGAAGGGTCTGGGACCCGGGCTTCAGACACTCATTTGTTTGGGAAGTAGTCCCAAGGATTATGAAGGACAGGAAAGAGCATAACAGTAAAGGAGGGAAAGTCAATTCAAGAGTAAGTTACTGCTTTGCTCTATTCTGTAAATAAAGGGGCTCCATCCTATTGGATTTGCTCCCCATTGGTCAACTCCCCCCACCACACACACACCAGTGTTAACACCCTTGCTTTCCTGCATTGTGCATGAGTGTACTTTCTGGTGCAGAAAGTAGGAGATGTGTGGTGCTGTCAGGGTACACCTGTGTGAAGCTGGTTGCCATGGCAATCATTGAAGTAAAAGTGATCTAAAGAGGATGACAGGCAGTGCACAAGAGGTCATTTTCCTAACTTGCACAGAATTAGCCTTGCCCCATCACACTTCCATGGTGCCAGTCACAGACCTCTGCTTCGTGGCCTTTGTTCTGTCGCTTTGTGATGATCCATTCATATATTGAGTATGAATTTCTAATCAGTGGTGACAAGATCTTGTTCATTTCAGAGCCTACTGAACTCAGCAGAGTAAACAGCAAGCAGCATATGGACTTAGGACCCCTCAATGTGGTAAAAAAAAAAAAAACACACACACATTTTAAATTAATGGGAAGTGTTATGGCAGTCAGTTTATTTCTCAAGTAGCCAATATGACCATTCAAATGAGAACTCAGGATGCAGTTTAAAAAAAGGAGAAATAGGTTGGGTGGGCTCAAAACAAAAAACAGCTTAGACAAAGATGTACTCATCCATGATCCCGGGAAAAAGGAATTATTTTAACAAAAGTATCAGTTACAGTTCATGGAATTTTTTTCTTCAGGAAACCTGACAAAAAAAGAAACATTACGTGGGTCATATTACCAACCACTCCGTTTATAATCCTAAATACATTTCAGTATGTAACTTATATTGCTAATATCTATCTTTAATCTCACTGGAGCCCTACAATGACTCCCCAGTTCACTCAGAATGAAAACTATTGTCCTTACAATGACACCTACAGCTCTACGAAATGTGGTCCTGTTACCTTTCTGGCCTCCTCTCCTCCTGCTCTTCTGTGTGTTCACTTTCTTCCACCTTGCAGGCCTCCGCCAGGAACACTCCCACCCAGAGTGTTTGCACCAGCTCTTTCTTCCATCTGATCATTTTCTCCTGACATCAGCTTGGCAACTCCCTCAGCATGGCAAGACTCTGCTCAAATGCCTCCTTCCCAACAAGGTCTATGCTGAACCTCCTTTTTAAAACCTGCACCCCTCCACCGCTCTGAACTCTTGAGGTCCATATCCTGCCCTACTTTTTTTCTCTTTTTCCATAGCACTTAAGCATCCTCAACAAATATGTAATTAATTTATTATGTCTATTGTTTCTCTTCCCTTTTGCTAGGATGTGACTTCTATCAGGGTAGGAAACTTTGCCCTTTTTATTTATTGGTGTGTCCCAAGTGTGCAGAATAGTGTTTGGCACATAGGTGTTCAATAAACACTTACTGAAGTGATGCCTAAGTGGCTCAGCAGTTGAGCGTCTGCCATCAGCTCAGGGCGTGATCCCAGGATCTGGGATCAAGTCCCACATCAGGCTCCTTGCAGGGAGCCTACTTTTCCCTCTGCCTCTGTCTCTGCCTCTCTGTCTCTCATGAATAAATAAATAAAATCTTTAAAAACAATAAACACTTAATTGAATGAAATATCTTGAAGCTTTGAGATAACAATATGCTTCATAATATAGAGGACATGCTGTCCATCCAAACGCCGGTAGGGCACCTACTGTGTGCTAGGTGTGGATAACATAGACATGGTTCCTGTCATCAAGGAAGTCTCAGGCTAGTGTGGACACAGGCAGGGCCAGACAATTACTGGCCAGAGTGACAGGCCCTCTGACACAAGCCTTGCTGTGGCTATTGGGTCACAGAGACGGGGGTTTGTATGGTCGGGCAGGAAGATGTTATGCAAGAGCACCACACTGAAGCTGACTCTTCCTATAGAAGGGAACTACTTAGTAAAAGGAAGGACATTGGACTGGATTTTGTGCACACATACTTGCTCATGCGTGCGTTATAAAAATGAGAGTCATAACAGTTTTACATTTCATCTTAAACACCCCTTCAGAATCATTACAGAATGAACTTTTCCCTTTGAGTTGGTTACTTGCTTTCTGCCTCCCCTCTCTCCCCTCCAAAAGTATAGGCAGTGTATAAAATAAATATACAGGCAATAAAACTTCATACATCTCTCCTTCACTAATGAGAAGAGACTTTGAGAATCTATGTAGGTTTATAATTGTTCCTTTGTCTTTTTTATTTATTTATTTATTTTTAATTTTTTTAAAATTTTTATTTATTTATGATAGTCACACAGAGAGAGAGAGAGAGAGAGGCAGAGACACAGGCAGAGGGAGAAGCAGGCTCCATGCACCGGGAGGCCGATGTGGGATTCGATCCCGGGTCTCCAGGATCGGGCCCTGGGCCAAAGGCAGGTGCCAAACCGCTGTGCCACCCAGGGATCCCTAATTGTTCCTTTGTCTATTGCATTGTGTATTTCTTGTGAGGATCATAATGCAATTGTTTTATACATATATATGTATCATGAATTTATATAGGACTCATTTAAAATATCCATTGATTATGTGTTTATAAAGGAAGTTTTCTGTATTCAACTATTAAAAGAAACCTCTGGCCTTATTTTTTTCTACTTGTTTCACTCATTCATTCAACAAACTATTATTATTATTACATTGTTTAAAAGATTTTATTTATTTGAGAGAGAGAAAAAGAGATATCAGAGAGAAGGACAAGGGGAGAAGCAGACTTCCTGCTGACCAGGGAGCCCTACACTGGGCTTGATCCCAGGACCTGGCTGGATCATGACCTGAGCCAAAGGCAATCACTTAACCCACTGAGCTACCCAGGTGCCCCTCAATGAAAGAATTGTTAAGTGGTTATTATGTATCAGGCATTGTGCTGGGTGCTATGGATACAAAGAGGAACAGAAACAAGTTCCCTGCCCTTAAGACTTTAGTAGTGCAACAGGCAGACTGGTGGAAAAATGAGAACACTGAAGTCCTACATTTAGTAGGAGAGAACGATTTAGGGCAATAGTTACAATGTGCAGGTCAGATGGAGCCCACATACGTGTTCATTTGGTCCAATAGTGTTTTTTAAAAATTTGAATCGTTTTTCACAAATTAATTTTGATTTCTGGCTTGACTTAAAAGAAGAATCATGGCTTGGCAACTCTGAGCCAGAGTTCCAAAATGGCAACAGTTAACTAAAGCTGAGTCAGAACCAGCCCATTCAGAGGGAGAGAGATGGGGAGCTAAGGGCAGAAGGCAGAGTGCCCCTGAATGTGGATGGGCTGGGAACTGGGGAAGTGTGGCAGATTCCAGGCAGAGAGAATATTTTGGTTATGGTCCATATTTAACTAAGTATCCAACCATATACAAACCCACACAGACTTTGACAATTCCATCCCTGTCTTGCCCATGACAGCGTTCATAAATGTCTGTGAAATGAACACAATCAAAGAATTTTACCTCTGGAGATTATTTCATAAGTCATTTTACAAATGAAGAAGCAGCAGTCTAGAGGGGTTGAGTAATTTGCCCGATGCAGTGCCAACATGAGCCTATAGCTGTTAACAGATTGTACTAAAGGCCTGAGGGAACAGAGGGGAATTGCAACATAGAACAGTATAGTGGGCATCTGTTGTTTTACTTACCCAGCATCCATTCTTCCTCCCTCTGGAAACAGTACCCTTATTTTGCTCCAGGAGCCACCACTCCTCATTCCATGTGCTGCTGGTGGAACTCAGTCCACCTGGCTTCTTAGATGGCATGTGACCCAAGCCCAGCCAACCACACGCATCCTCCTGGAGCTACTGAGAAAGAGGCATCATCCTACCAATGGCAGCTGCTGGAAAGAAACAACGCAATTCTGAATGATGCTATTTGAACCTAACCTAAGACACCATGATGTAAGGAAAAAAAAACAAAAACAAAAACAAAAACAAAAACAAAAAAACGGTAAGCCCAGATCCTTGGGTAAATTGCTTAACTGTTCTGAACCTCAGTTACCACATCTGTAAGTGAAAATAATTCCTTACCTCAAAGGGCTGCAAAGAAATAATGTCTGTAAAATGCCTGGCACACAGTAGGAGCTCATTAATGTTGGCATCTTCACTTTCCCTTCCGAATAATGTCAGATGGATGTAGCATTACTGTAATTAAAATGTAAGAAGTGCATTGGCAGACGTTCCTTAACAACATATTGAGAACAGCTTTTTCAGTAGCTACCTTATGCGATTTCAGGGAACTGGGGAGGGAAAATAAAATAAAATGCAGCTTGTTTTCCTGGAACAATTCAAGCCATATCCAAATGCCTGCCAAGTGTAGCTCCTAAGTCTACGTCTGCATTCATCTATTATTTCACCTCTGTGTAGATAAAGTGGTTTTCCTACCCGCTCACTGGCCATTTTCTTTTTAAAATGGGAACTCTTAAATCCCTGGCAATCATTTAGCTGACAGTTTGGATCATAATGTAACAATAACATTAGTGAGCAGTTGTATGACAGTTCCTGCTTTTAAAGCACTTTACAAATCTGGGCTAATTAGCATGAACGCTAACATGCCAGCTTTTCATGGATTAATATTGCAATTATACTTTGCTTTTTCAATAAAAATGCAGTGATCCCTTTTCTCCAGAAATAGAGAGAAATGAAACGAATAAACTGTCTCTTCAATGGATTCAAACACTACGCAGTTAAAATGTGAGTCAGATACTTTGACTAAATGTTCCTCTGAAAACATTTGTGAAGACTTACAGGTACGGCACCTCTCGCAAATTCTGTTTCAGCATCAATGAGGGAAATAGAGGGACAGAAAATAATGTGGGACAGAAAAGGAATTTGTAAACTCAAGGTAAGTTTCCAACCTTCAAAATACAGTTTCCACTCACTTCTAGATTTAAGCACCTCAAAGAAGTCTGAAAATTATCTGATTATGATTTACTCTTAAGCCAGATGAGAAAATACCAGTTTACGTAGTATTGCAAAAGACCTTATTCTTTTTGTTGTGAATTAAAATACAATAGATTAAGTATAGAAGGATAAAGACTTGGGTTGGGATCCCACCTCTAGTACTCAGCTATAGAACTGTAACTTTTCTGAATTTTGGTTTCCTCACTTCTAAAATGGAGGCTGGGGTAGGGTGATAATACTTACTTTGCATGATTCTTGGGAAGTCCGAAAGTGATAATACCTTACACAATATCAGGGATATGACAAGTGATCATGTTAGCCCTGACCCACCCTCTCTATTTGTAATTAATCCTCCTTCCTTTCTGCTCTAAAATTAATCTGACATTCATTCAGTTTCAGTTTACAGAAAGCAGGGCATCATAGTGAATGAAAATGTTTGTGTTAGGTATTATAAATAACTAAATTTAAAGGGCCAAGAATAATCATAACAGTTCATTGTGAAGGGAAGAATCATATGTTTATACGATCACTTGAAAACTCCTTCGAACATACTATGAAACATACTGTGAAAACATGCTATGAAACCTAGAGATATCTCAGTTAAATCTGATCATTTTGTCCTCTGTTCTCTGTGCAAAGTTAGCAAAAAGTGATGTGAGGAGGTTTAACAGCGGAAAGGCTGGCTGAGACAGAAGGCTGTCTTGAGCACACTTAAATTGTTTCATTCATTCATTCATCAGTTCAACATTTATTGAGCACATGTCAGACACCATACTGAATGTTGCCAGTATGAGGACTAGTACAAGGAATAGCAGATACAGCTTTTGCACTTTAAGGATTCACAGTCTCGCGCTGGAGTCAGACAAGTGAATGAACAGTTACAATAATGTGAGCGATAAATGCTAGTAGGTGCATACTCAAGGCCAGTATCTAATTTCTTGAGAAGTCATAAATTCTTTGAGAGAAATGATTTACCTTTTGCAGTTCCTGCCGCATGATTTGTAGAGGGTGAGCACTCAGTACAGGATCAAAAGACCCATATTTTGGTCCCAGCTCTGTCTTTGACTAGCTATGCATTCTTTGATAGTCATTGCAGTTTTCTGAGCCTCAGTTTCCTCATCTGTAAAGCGTTGATACCAGTTGATACCAGCCCTCCCTGGGTTATTGTAAACATCAATGGTCATGAGAGAGAATTTTTAATTAATTGTAAAGACCTCTATAAACTAAGTCACATTCTTAAATGGTTTTGGTTTTTTTTTTTTTGTATTTTAAAATGGAAGTTGTTTAGTACTTCACATAGTCGCTGAATCATCCTTTTCCTTAAAGAAAACAAAAAAGAAAGAAAGAAAACCAACAGGTAAGGGTCCTTCATTGGACCCCAAGCAGGTCCAGCTTCATCTTCATTGGACCCCAAGCAGGTTCAGCTTCATCTTTTTTAGCAATCCAGGTAGACATTTACTATTATCCCCATTTTACCAATGAGAGCATTGAGGAGCTAAGAATTTGCCCCGGAGCACGACCTCTTGCAAGCCCAGGGTGTGTATACACACCAACAAACGTCCAAAGGACCAAGCCTCAGGGAAGGCTGCGCTCTTTTCTCTGGAGGCCCCGCCCCCCGCCCTGGAGGGGGCTGGACGAGGCCTAAGCCCCGCCCCACGACGCACGCGGCCCCGCCCCCAGGCCTCCACCTCTCGCGGGATCTCGCGGGAGGACGGATGGGGTTAGGTCCCATCATGGCGGCTGAAGAGGCGGATGTGGATATCGAAGGGGACGTGGTGCCGGCCGCGGCACAGCCCGGGTGAGGCGTAGAGACCGGGTCTCGCAGGGATGGGGAGGAGCGCGGGCGCGAGGAGAGTACCCCAGAGAGGCTTGGGGTCCGGCAGGGACCCGGGGAGCGGAAGCCCATCCGCTGGGCCAGGGTGTCCCGGCGGCCGGAGCGGCGCCGCGCCCATACGGCCTGGCCTGTAAGCTGCCGCTGAGCCCGGCGGGCGGGGACCCGAGGCTCGCGTCGGACGGCCGTTCCCACCTGTGGCCGCGGTATTCGGAGCGCGCCGACCTCGCCTGGCACGTTGCACTCTGACCAGCGATTAGATCGCTACTTCCGTGATGTCCACGCCGGAATCCACCCCGCCCCCCCCACCCGTGGACGGCGGCCTGACCTAGGGCGGAGCCTCTGCACCGCACCTGAGCCGCGGGATCCCTGTTCCCAGCGCTTGTAAGCCCGGTGACCTTGGGCGTGCCGTTTCTGTCCCTCCCGACGACAGGTTTCCTCCCCGACCTGGGGTTAGTTGTGAAGAACTTCCAGGGAGGCAGGGCCGCACGGCTCTGGGGGCTCTGGGGGCTCCAGCGTGGGCCGGCCTTGCCCGTCCCTTAGCCCCGTGACCTTGGGCCAGACGGGTAACCTGCCGGAGCTTCAGACCCCTAGCTCCTGGGGAAGCTGACAGTCCTGGTGTGTGCCTCCCAGGGCCATTGTGACCCTATAGGTAAATGTTTTCCCTTCTTCCCCACCTCCTTACCCTCGCGTGAAGGGAATCGTGAGAACCTAGTGAGGGCCCACGGTTTATTTAATGCAGATTTCCTGCCGAACAGGCCAGTGTGGTTCCAAGCAGCATCCTCCAGCTTGAGAGATCCAGCCCTTTGCTTGCTTTCCAAGTAAGAAATCGATGCATACTATCTTCAAAATGTGCTTGCCCAGCCACCGTTTAGGATTGGAAAGAGGCCTGGACTGGTCAGGAATCACAAGTTCTAAACTCAGCCAGTTTATGTTGCTTATAAAATATGAACAACCAAAAAAATAAAATAAGTAAAATAAAATAAAATAATAAAATAAAAAACAACCTCGTTAGAAGTCTGTTAGGTTGACTGAACCATGGGGAATCGCCAGTCTTAGACCATTTTTAGCTTTAAAATAAATGGTAAAATTTCATTCAGTCCAACCTCATAGTAGGGCTTCTATGAATTATGGAGAGCAGTACCCGCTCTGCCCCTGGGGGACTAAAGTAGCGGGTGTAAAGTTCTGCTGAACCCTGAAACGGTATAAAAATGTGAGGAGTAATTAAATTCATATGGTCATTCTCTCCCAAACCTTTAGGCAAAGCAGTCCAAAGCTATACTGATAAATAGGGAACTTTTATTAACAATCATTTTTCAAATAGTGAAAGGGAATAAAGGGGAAAGGAAAGAAAATGAGTGAAAATACCAGTGAGGATGACAGAACATGAGAGACGCCTAACTCTGGGAAATGAACAAGGGGTGGTGGAAGGGAAAGTGGGTGGGGGAGGGGGTGATTGGGTGACAGGCACTGAGGGGGGCGCTTGACGGGATGAGCACTGGGTGTTACGCTGTATGTCGGCAAATCGAACTCCAATAAAAAATATACAAAAAAAAAACCAATCATTTTTCACATTTGTGTAGATCAAGTTATCAGGTTAATTTTAGTGCTCTTGCTTGCATGATTTAATTTACTTTTCACAGTAAGTCTGACAAGTAGGCAGGGATACTTACCTGCAGTCCAAAGAAAAGTGAATTGGCCTTGGAATCACAAAAGGTCATCTGAGAGCCGTGGCTCTGCCCTTTTCCATGGGTTCTTCTTTATTTTTCTGATCATGTTTAAGTTTTCTGCCTTCCTTTTTTCTTTCCTTTCTCTTTCTATTATGCTCGAGCCTTAATTCTTCTGGTGACGCTTATGATCATCTTTAGACTCATGCAAGCCAGATTACAAAGGGTATTGGTCCCTGACGGTGAGAGCCATTGCCTTACCCAACTCCAAGGAACATCATTAACATTATATTTTGGTGAATGGTGCCCTCTGAAATGTGTTGGTACAGCTAATGATAATATCTGTGGAACCCTTGAGGATTAATTGAAAACACGCTTTTAAGTACTTGCGAAATTCTAGGTACCAAAGTTAAGAGGTGGCACTGAAACCTTGATTTCCCTTTCACTTCTACCTTTCCTCCTCATCTTCCTTTTCTCCTATTTGTCCTTTAAATCAGTGTTCCAAGGGGTTTTGTCATAAGACTTCTCACTCACCACACAGTCCCTGGTTATATCATCTCTCAAGACTTAAATTTCGTTAGGTTGGATCATATAAAATTTTGTCACTGTTCAACCATTTTTGACCATTAAAAAAAATGGTGATTTCATAAAGTTCCACCTATTACATACTGATGTTTCCCAAATCTGTCACCAACCCAAAGCTCTCTCTTGAGCTTTAGATCCATTTATCTAATTCTCTGAATCTGTCTGTTCTTGGATGTTCCACAAGCATCTCAATCTCAGCTTATAAACTTTTCCCACCATACCTGCCATCTGCTTCTCCAAGTTCTCTAGTTCAATAAATGGCACCATTCACCCAGTAACTCAAGACATGGACCTATACTTTATCCCTTTTCGTACCCTTCTATTAGTTGCTAAAGGTCTGTTAATTCGAAGTGTCCTCTCAAATGTATTCACTTTGCTGTTCACACTGCTTATTCTGTAGGTCTAAGTTACTGTCACTTCTTTAGTATTTATATAATCACTTCCTTTTAACTGCTCCTTGTCTCTTTAGCTCCCTTCTATTCTTTTTTTTTTTTTTTTTTTTAAGATTTTATTTATTTACTCATGAGAGAGGCAGAGACACAGGCAGAGGCAGAAGCAGGCTCCATGCAGGGAGCCTGATGCGGAACTCAGTCCCGATCCCGGGACTCACAGGATCACTCCCTGAGCTGAAGGCAGGAGCCCAACTGCTGAGCCACCCAGGCGTCCCACCCCCTTCTATTCTTGCCTGAAATTAGAGCAGTCTTTGTTACATCCAAATCTCATCATATTATTCCCTTCAAACTTCGATTTGCTTTATGAGAAAATCCTCCTTCGTTCCTTAACTCCTACAGACGTGGATGATCCATGTCCCACCTACCTTGTTCATTTAGTCATTCAACAGATGTTGACTGAGCACCTTTTCTATGCCAAGGCTTGAGTCTCTAGCAGTTCCAAAACTAACTCCTTGCTCTTATAGAACTAACATTCTTATTGGGTAAGACACAGTAAAACTTACATGTGGGCCAGATGGGGATAACTGGAAAAAGATAGAGAAGGGAAAGTGGTTGGTGTGTTAGCTTTATCATGTATACTTACCCTGGAAAAGTGGCTCTGGAACTATAGGACTTGAGAGGTCAGCATGGATATAGTGGTAGGCTGAATTTGAAAAGGGAAGAAGCCATAGAATTAGCAACCAATTGAATGTACATTGTGAGGAAAATATGGGCAGGCTCAGATTTCTGGCTTGGGCAACTAGCAGAATGGATATGCCTTTGTCTGAAGCAGGGAACGATGGAAGAGTAGCAGATTTGACAGGAATTTCTCAGGGAAGGTTTAAACTTGTTAATTTGTGCTATCTATGGGGATTCAGGTAGGTGTCCAGGTGTATACACCAGAGGTATGGAAGTTGCTAATCCTTATTGAGGAGCACTGTGTAAAGAGATGTCTGCATTAAGTGAGGGGCGTCACTCCTGAAGTGAGGGGCGCCTGGGTGGCTCCATCAATTAAGCATCTGCCTTTGGCTCAGATCATGATCTTGAGGTCCTGGGATCAAGCCCCCCACATCAGGCTTTCTGCTCAGCAGGTAGTCTGCTTCTTCCGCTCCTTCTGTGTTCTAATCTCACTCGCTCTCTATCTCAAATAAATAAAATCTTTAAAAAAAGAAAAAGACCAGAAGTGATACTAGTCCCACTTTCTGCATCCTTATCCTTGGCAGACCTCATTAAGCAAAGGTTTCCTTCTGCTGATCCATGTCTCAGAATCCTTTCTTTAGCATTCCTGGCAGCCTCTACCAAATCAGAGCTAACACCTGAATTAAAACCTTTTGCCATCAACTGAGGGAAGTTATTGCTTTTAGTTTATTGTAGAAAGCCCATTAGTTCCACAACTTATTATAACCACTTTAGAATTAATTGAAGATTCAAAAAGATAAAGCTTTTTGCAGTCTGAGAGGTACAAAATTCTTATCATAGACTAGGTGTGGGAAAAGTCAGTAATTTTCTGGGAAACTATAACTTCAAGATATAAAAAAAATATTGAATTATATCATAGTTTGGGTCTTCTAAAACTTTTCATCTTTTTTGTAAGAAGTGAACAAGGTGACTTTAGAGAATTTTTATTAGTTCAGTGAAAGGAGTGAGAATTAACAAAGTTTAATCCCCCATGAACATAGAAAAGGCCCCAAATAACCCAAGTTAATTTTTTTTATTAATATCAAATTTTCTTTTTACTGTCCTGTTTTTTTTTATTTTGGATCTTTGATCATCTATTCTTTTTTTTTTGGCATTTTTGAGGGCAGCGCTGTTATTGATGACTTTTATGCTTTAGCTATCACTAAAAGAATTGATTGTAAATTTGAATTCCTATATACATATGGATGCTCCTCAAAAGAACTCTGAAGTGTTGGTTCATGGCCATAGAGCATGTTGTGGTTGCTGCTTTGGGGTATTTTTTTCATGAAGTTATTTCTTAGGAAACAAGAGAAGAGAACAGACTTTGCTGGTTAGCAGTTGAGATAGGGTGGCTTAAAGACAGTTTATATTCCACAAATTAAAGAAATAGAGGAGGCATTTCTGCAATGTTAAGTCTGTTAGGAGAAGAAGGGAATGAAATCTTTGTTTAGCATCTGTACCCTGCCAGTCACTGTGCTGGTTAAATGGTACTTATTAATCGGTATAATAGCACTTTTTTACCCATTTTCTTAATTATTACAGAAGTGATGGAAATACAGCATCTGTTTTACAAGATCACTATCTTGATTCATCGTGGAGAACTGAGAATGGTCTTATTGTAAGTATTTTATGAAAATAACAAGTGCACTAAGCTTTTAAAAAGAATACCTCTTTTTTCCTTGGTGCTAGTTCTCAGCAGTTCCAGGGGTAACATGCCAAAAACATTTTTCTTACTTTAAAAATAAACTTATTCTTATTTCTTTTGACTTTGAAATGACCTGTTGGGAAACAACTTTGGAGCCACCTAGATTTAGGTACAAATCCTTGTTCTACGACTTACTAGATTTGTGAACCTCCTTTTCTTCATTTAAAAGATGGTGATCATTGCAGGGTTCATTTCTTTCATTTAGCAGTTATTTATTGAATACTTACTATATGCCAGACACTACACTGGGTTTGGGGGATACAGCTATAATCGAGACAGACATAGTCTTGCTCTCAGGTTGCTTATACGTTAAAAGGGAATTAGGCAATAAACAGGTAGACATAGTAATTATAGACCATAAAGAAACCTGAGATGCTGGCTGAGAGTAACAGGGTGGGGAACCTATTTTAGATAAAGTTGTCATTTAGGGAAACAGAAGGTGACAGTTAAGTTGAAAAATAATAGGAGTAGATGTGTGAAGAGTTGAGGAAAAACATTCTAGGCAGAAGGAATAGCAGCACAAAGGCTTTGTTTGAAAGCCAGTGTCTAGAATACGGTAGGAAAGGGGGGAGTGGCAGCTGTGACAGGGTTGGAGAGGCAGACCAGAGTTCTGTCATGCTTGTATGAAGCAAGAGTAGAATCAAAAGACCAGTTGGGAAACATCTGTGGTAATCTAAGCAAGAGTTGGTGGTAGCTTGGCTGAGATTGTTGCAGAGATGGATAGATTTTAATTCTATTTTGGAGGTAGAACTGCTTGGTAGATTGGATATAAGATTGAGAAAAAAGGGAAGAATCCAGGATGATTCCTAGGTTTCTAGGTGAAATAACTAGGTGACTAATACTGCTATTTACAAAGTTGGAGACATAGGGAGAAACAGTTAAAGGTAGGTGTTTGCGAGGTTTGAATATGTTAACTTTGAGAAGCCTACTAAATATCCAGGTGGACATTGTGAATGGTCAATTGGACATAACAGTCTAGATAGAAAGAAGAGCTTGAAGTGCTTGAAGAGCTTGAGGAGCTTCAAGCCCTAGATAGAGCTTGAAGAGACCTGAGCTGAAAATTTTCTAGATAGAAGAGCTTGAAAAGACCTGAGCTGAAAATTTTTAAGTTTTGAGGGCTGAAAACATGTATGACCACTTAAGGAGAGATTGTGGCTTACGGGAAAAAAAAAGAATTGTGAGTTTTGAAGATAGGGTGAAATTTCTAGCAACATGCTCACTACCTGATACTTCTCATACTTGATTGATAGCTATTACAACTTTACCATGAGTATGAACCTGAGCCTTGGAATCCAGCAGTCCTGTGTCATATCTCTCCTCCTTCACTTGAAACACTTGCCTTGCTATGGATGCATCAGTGAAGTAATAATTCCTATCTCACAGTGTTATCCTGGGAGTCAGATATGTCTGCATAGTAAATGGTAGCTTTATTATTTTAAACATAGTAGATAATTTCAAAAACCAGTTAAGTAAAAAGAAAAATACATTCTTTTTTTAATAGCCTTGGACTCTGGATAGCACCATCAGTGAAGAGAACAGAGCTGTCATTGAGAAGATGTTGTTGGAAGAAGAGTATCCTTTAATGATTATAAGGAAAATAAAGATTTCAGGATTAAAAGTTTATAAATGCAAGACTTACAAAAGAGACTACTGTTGTTACTAGATGAACCTTATTTGGCCCCAGGTTATAATTACATAGTGTGGGACCTACCTATGCAAAAAGCATTTTATTCCTCTGTTTATTTCTGTTTTACTACAGAATCTGAGATGTAACCCAATATGTTTGAGTTTCTGTTGTCAGCTAACTCTGTACTATCTGAATGTTGAGTAGAAATTATAGAATATTTTAAAGTCAGCTAGAACCTTTAGTCCATTTCCAAGATCATTTAGTCCAAGCTTCCATCTTCAGTTTTAGATGCTAAAATGCAAGATGTTAATTTATCTAGGGACACAATTAGAATATGTAAAAGTTCTCACTTCTTACTCTACCAGTTTACAGGTGTTATGTGGGAGGAATCTAAGTAAAAAGCACAAAACAAATACTGCAGGATGATTTTTCCTTCAGAAGTTGTAGATCTTTATCCACAGTTTAGCCACTAGCTTCTTGTCCTTGTTTCTCTCATCTATTTGGTAATGGAAACTTAACTTCTTTGAGACTCCATTTTCTTACATGCAAAATGAAAGGATTGAATGAGCTGATTTCTGATTTTGATTTTTAATTGTTAATAATAGTCTAATAAATACTGGTTTATTTTTAACTCTCTCATCTGTATTTTATGGATATCCTCCTTTTTAAGCCAGAATTTCTCTGTTCCCTTTATTCCCAGTTATTGCTATTATTGATTTCAGAGTGTCTACACCTTTAATTATCATAGGTTACACTTTTTTGGCTTTTTTAATCTCTTTCTTTCCCCAAACATCACAGCCTAGATCATTGCTTTTCAGTAGAAAAATAGTGCAAGGCTCATATATCATTTAAAATTTTCTCATAGCCACATTTAAAACAGGTGAAATCCATTTTAATAAGATACTTTATTTAACCCAGTATATTTAAAATAATATTTCAACATTTAATCAACAGAAAAAATTTATTGAAGTTTTTACATTCTTTGTTTATATGTAGCTATTGGCTGATACATTGAACAGTGTAAGTCTGTTACGAATGAACACTTAAGTAGTCACAGGTTCACTTCCAGATTTAGAAACAGAAAAAATGAGAGTAAGAACTAAGTGAGCTCTTGCAGTACAGGGATTTTTTCTTAGATCTTCATCCTCAGCTCCTTGTACTTAGCATATTGCCTGACATACAAGATATATAGTCAATATTTGTTAAGGGAAGCATATGTCAGACTAATTGAAGAGTATTACATAGGCCAGTTTTAAGAATTTCAAGGGGGAATGTCCATGGTAGATTTGACTTGAATTATTTTTATTAACGTAGAGAATACCCTAAACTCTGTTACCTTTAGAACTATGAGAATATACTCCCTAGTTAATTCTGGATAACCAATCAAATTCATCTATTACATTCTCCATATTTTAGGAAAAATTTAAGTGAAACACTGTGACTATTTCTTCTCTTAGACACTTCTAGTAAGGAATATAGGAGAAGCTAACATTTATGTAGCACATTTTGTGCAGGTCCTATGTTTGTGTGGTTTCACATGTAGTATTTAATCCATATAACAGCCTTGTGAGGTATAAATATTTTTATCATAGTTTTTGCATATCTGGAAAAGGTTTTAAGAAAAATTAGCTAGGATTCAAGTATGATTTTCTTGAATGAGTGCCTATTTAATAGAAGTCACATAAAAACAATGTGATTTTATTATTATTTTTAAGTTTCTTTAATAATTACACAGGTATTACTTATCTAAAAAATCACTTCCAGAAAAATTCTGGCTTGATCAAAAGGAAGATGATAAAAAATACATGAAGAGGTAAATCAATTTTTAATATTTTTAGAAGTCTGAACTATATTTTTAAAAACATGTTGAAAAGCTTCCTTATTTTCTTTTTCATGTGGTGCAGCCTGCAGAAAACAGCAAAAATCATGTATGTACTTAATATGTTTTATATTGTAAAGTTATAGGAGAATTAAACAAAAATTATAGTTGGCCTGTAGAAAAACTCTTGACCTTGGGCTGTACAAAACTATAAAATCAAAATTTCTTAGACCGATGTTGGAATGCCATGAGATAATTTTATGGTGTTACTCCTATGTCAGAATATAAGGTCCTGTCTATGTAAGCAATTCCATTAGATTATGGAAGATGGTTTCCTAGGGATTTGTGGGGAAATTTTTAAAAACTGCTATCTAATATATTAGGAATTGGCTTGTGCTCACTTCGGTAGCACATATACTATATATTAGGAATTGGCTTGATTTCTATTATTCTATTCAGTTAATTTTCACTCATTTCAAATAAAAATTTAATTTGAATTTGTGGTTTTCAAAAATTATCTAGAGAAATTAAGTATTAACTATTTTATAAATATCCTTTCCTTATAATTGAAGAAAATTTGATGTTATTTAGTGTTTATAAGCTTTCATGTTTATGATCCCTCAAAGGGTATACTTATAGATTTACCATTGCAAAGGGTTTGAGCAGTGAGCAGACTTTGGATTTTGCATTTTGCTGAATAAATAACAGCAAAGTTAATGAGATTAATGGTTTGAATTAAATTGATGAGCTTCATCTCTGTTTTTAATTTTAATTTCTTAAAGACTACATTTCAAAAATAATGAATATAGTTTCTTCTTTTTTGGCTTGATATTTACATAGATTTACACTGAAGAATCAAAGAGATAATATTTCTGGAGCCAACTTGAACACTTAACAGGCCTTTTAGGATTTGGAAATGTCTTAATGTCTGCTGATTTGTGTCCAGTCTAAGGAAGCCTATTTGTTTGTTATCACTTTGACTTCCTTTGATGTCTTTTAGTGTTATCTTCACTCAGACCCAAGGATTATTCTTTTGGGGCTCCTATCATCCTAAGCTAGAGAAGTATACAAGACAGGGTAAATCCATCCCCCAGGTAGAGGCTGCAGCCTTTTCTTCTTTTTTAACTCTTAGATTCACAGTATTGAATTTAGCCTATGGCTGTCTATAACCTTTAGCTGCATAAATATGGAATGTTCCATTTCAGACTTTTTTTTTTGCATTTCCCTTTTTTCCCCTCAGGGCACACTCTCCTACAAAATCAGCCAGTTACTCAGTAAAGTGGACGATAGAAGAAAAAGAGCTGTTTGAACAAGGGCTGGTAAATAGAGCAATTTTTAATTTATAGTAAAATAATTTTAGAAGCCAATATTGATAGAATTATAAGGTTAATTTGTGAAGACTAGAAATTTATTTTAATGATCACATCTTTAGTTTTTCTATTGTGATGATATTTGTAGTATAGTATGAGAGAATTCCCTTTAACTCAGACCTAAGTTATTAAAATAGATTTGGATCAATATTTTAGATAGTTTTCACCCCCCTCCCCCGTTTTTTGGTAATAATAAAACACAAGATACTGAGCTCTGTCTGTATACATCAACTACCTGGATTAAAAGGCAAAATTACTTAGTTATCTAATGTTTTCTCTTAGGAAAAAAAAAAAACAATAAAGGCAAAAAACCTTGTATATTTGGAACTGTCTGCATAATCAGCTGAATCCTTTTTTATTCAGATATTTGGCATTCTGCACACAGTCTGGATATTTTTTTAGTGGATGTAGTTAAATACCAGAAACATTTCTGTTGCATGAATGTTTCACTGACATGTATTTAAATATCCACAAGTTACATAATAGAAAAAAAAATGTACACTGGTTTCTAATTCTGAAAATTCTGTTAATGTGAAGAAACTTTTAATAAAATAGAAAAATTTTTTATGGTATTAAGAGTAGGCTATAGCTTTTCCTTTAAGATACATGTTACCAGTATTACACCAATCAATTTTGAAATTATGTATATTTATATATTATTTATAAGATATTTATGTAATATGTGGGATTTATGAATGCAAATTGAAATATCATTGTTAACATTTCTATAGATTATGGGAAATAAGATATATTTGTATGTATATAGACCTTGCCATGACATCTATATATTCTGTGATGTCTTTATATGAATAAATAAACTATCTTAAGGTTTTCTCTGCTGAGGTTTTTCTCCTGTACTGTTGATATTTTTTATATTGGTATTTCATTTTTTTGCATGATTATCAACTTTATAACCTAACTTTAATTAAACAATCACTTATTTAAGATTTCTGCTTACTTTGGTGTTTTGCCCCATAACGAAGGCTATTATATGTATGTTTATGTGTTTGTATACACACACACAAAAATGAATTGTGAATTTTTGGCTATTCTTGACACTGGTGGTAACAATAGGGGCTACATCTTCATGGATCAAACTTCAAAGAGTATTTGAAGTTAGAGGTGTTCAGTTTCCCAGTCACTCCTGTCTGTGCCTTTAGTTCTCTTTGCCTCAGGTAACAATTGTCACCTGTTCTTTGCGTGTCCTTCTAGAGATATTTTGTCCCTATTTATGCCAATAGGCATTTATATAGATAGATAGATAGATAGATAGATAGATATTTATATACATAAATGGATATTTTAAACTTAGAATGTTTTCCCACAGAAATACATGGAATCGTTGGTTGTATCCCCACCCTTTTTAACCTTTTGATACAGTTTGCTTATACAGTGAGTTCTCTCAGGCTTTAGGGAAGGGGATTACGTGGTACCAGATGGTGAAGGAAGATTTTTTCCTTCCCTTTTGGGCATAGATCTCTCTCTTTGCTCTCTTTTAAAATTGGTGAATGTTTGCTTTGTTCCTCTTGTTGGTGTATCCTCTCCAATTTCCATAATGCCCAAGCCCCCACAATCTCAACTGGTTATAGATCTTTGGCATGTCTCAAAGTGCTCCATCCTAGGAAGTGATTGATTTGCCTTTATCCCACAATATGTATAACTAATTCTTCAGTTAGTTGATCTTAGCTACGTATTTATTAATAACAATCTTAAGTAATTAATTTATACTTACTGAGAATTTTCCTATAAGTACTTTTAATTTTAAGAAATTGTTTGCATGTCAGATTTTCTCATGAATATCAGAAATAAATAGATATTTGTTTATCATTTGGGTCAGGTTTTGAAGATGATTTGCCACCATAAGTTATGACCTGTAGATATCATAACCTGTTCTGTAAATTTGGCCGTTGGGATTAGCTTCCCTGAGTTGTGGAGATACTGTGAAGATTTAGGTATCAAATATTAGACTTGATGCCTAAAAATTCCCTTTAGCTTTAAAATTATATTGCATTCCTTTCTTTGCTTCAGAAAGCACCAGAGCTCCTTTAGGACCTCAGTTTTTTCCCTACCACAGCTTCGTTGTTAGCAGGCACACAGCCTTTAACAGTACAGGTGTATAGGAAGGTGTTGGTTGCAGGTTGCTTCATTTGTGATTCCTTCATTCTTCTAAGTCTGTTTTCTGTGATACCTGTGTGGAGTAAAAGTATCTGCTATGGGACAGGTATTGAATATTGTACCAGGTGGAACATGGGTAAAAAAAGATATTTTGAAATTAGTGTCAGATATATAATCAGTTGATTCTAGAAGTAGAAAATATAACCTGCCTCTTTTTCAGACAGTTTTTCAGATTTGGAGCATTGTAATATGCAATATGAGTATATACTGTTAGGAATACATAAAAGTGGTGGATCTTCATTTAGATAGCTGGAAAAAGAAAACTAATTTCTAAATTATTTTGGTCACTTTTCAGATGTTGAGATTCCAAAAGAGTATGGACTTTGATTTAAGAGTCTTAGCTTATCTATAAGGCTTCATTGTGTGCTGTAGAAAATAAATAAAGATGGGTTTGGGTTTTTTTTTTTTTTAGCTTTTTTAAAATGTGCAGTTGCTTGGAATATTAATAAATACGTTAATCAAGATCAATTTCTTTTCCATTTTGATAACATAGGCTAAATTTGGCCGAAGGTGGACCAAAATTGCAAAACTAATTGGAAGTCGCACTGTTTTACAAGTTAAGAGTTATGCCAGGCAGTACTTTAAAAATAAGGTAAGCAGGATATAAATGTCCTAGTTAATAATATTTGTAATAAATAAAATTAGTAAGCAAAAGTAGTTCTTTAATTCAAGCATTAAAGTCAATGTTCAGAGTTTTTGTAGTGAAAAAATTTTATATTCATAAAGTACTCAATGCATGTTTATCTTTAAAAATCTCAAAGCATATCTTCAGTGTTTTGAGTATAGACTGCTATTAGAAGGCATTGTTTCCTAGAAAAATATCTTTTCGTTTTAAAGATTTACCTTGTAGCTTTTTTGTTTTTATTATTGTTCCTTTTATTAGCAAGATACATATTGTAAATTCTGAAAAGAGTCTGACTTAAAAACCAGTCTTTTCAATATGTGAGTGCAAGACCCAGTCCAGGAAAACAAGCCCACAAGCTGCAGAATGATGTTTGAAAATGCAAGTTGTTAGGGGCACCTGGCTGGCTCAGTCTGCAGAGTGTGCTACTCCTGCTCTCGAAGTCATGAGTCCAAGCCCCATGTTGGCACAGAGCTTACCTCTGTTCTGGCTTCAAGACAGGCTGGGGAAATTTCTGGACTTTACTTGGAGGTTTACGGCTCCAAAACAAAATTGATGCTGAATCTTCCAAAAGCTTGGACTGGCTCCTACTCTGAACATTTTGTTCCTGCTCCATCTTCATGGCGGCAGCTTCCATTACATTCTCAGGACTCCACATCTGTGGTTTCAACTCACTTCTCTGCTGGGCCATGATCTCTAGGCACCCGGGCCATCCTAATAGCCTCAGAACTTCTGTCCAAAGATTTGCATTGTAGTTTTTAGGAATGATTAGAGCTTAGAGCCATAAATGCTAACATGATGCTAAAATCTATTTAATAGCAGTGATGAAACTTTTATAATTTTTATGAGGAATTATCTGAAAACTTCAGTAAGTTGTAGGATTCAGAAAAGGATAATTATATTTGGTCTAGTTCTTTAATCTTTCAAGTAATCTGTGCTATGTTTAACCACGTAGTTTTGATATTTAGAAATTTTTAGTATATTCCCTGCTTGAGTTCTGGAAATAGAATTATATAAAATTATATAGAATTTGAAAGGGTCTTAAGTGAAATTTGCTGTTTTCTTTTAATGCAAATAATGAATTTTTCTCTGTATACAATATTTAGATAATTTAGTGTCATTTGAGCATAGGAAGTAAGTAATATCAATCATCTACTCCCTCTTTAACCAAGCAAAAGCATTTTCAAGGCAGTCGGGCAAAGTTAAGGTATTCTGGAAGAGAATAAAGCTTAACTTGGTTAATCCTATTCCGTATTCCTATTACTGCTATTCCTACTCAGATTGGAACATGCAGAACATATTGGGGTGTCAGTTTTACTTAAAGACTTGGGGAAAGGAGACATCATGATGCTAAAGGAGACATTCATACAAAATATAATACAAATCTTACCTGAATTTTTAAGGTTAAAACAGGAGACTTCAAGTAAATAGCAAGGTCATTAAAGGGTGTTCCAAGGCCATGTGTCCAAAACTCCTTTTTTTTCCTGCTACCTTTTTGTTTTCTAAATAGTAAGCCAGTTAACCTCAAATATTAGATTCTGGGATTCTGTTGTGATATAGGATCTGCAGGTAAGCTCTTTTTAGGAGCTATCATCCCTTGGGTATGCCAGACATATACAAGATTTTTCAAAAACTGTAAAGATTTTATTTTAAATCATTTTTATTCATTGACAATCATTTTCTTTTCCATGACTAGATATTTATGTTATAAAAGTACATAAAGAAGATAATTTCATGCCTTAAATTGTTAGTTGTGTAATACTGCAGCTACATTAAATGAACCTTTGAAAATATTTGTTTCTTGTATATCTGAATTTAAATGAAAGATGAATTTAATTTACTAAATTAAAGATATGTGACAGATTCCTTTAATATGTTATAATGCTGTTTAGCATTATAAAAAATAATCAGCTGAGATATCTGATACTCTAAGAAATTAGCCATTAAAAATATTTTAATACCTTAAAGAATACTTTAGTATGACAGTTGTTCATTCTCTGTGGTGGTTCTGAGCCAGATTCCTGTTTTAAACTTAATATTGAAAAACAAAATAGTAGTTGTAAATAGGTCATGCTTATTTAATTAATAAAATCACCCAGCCATGAATAAGTCAAAAATATATTGATGGAAATTTGGAATGTTATTTTACATTCAAAATGCAGTTGTAAATCCTTAGAAGAAAAGCACAATAAAGGTATAATTATACCATTGACATGGACTCAGTTTAACAATACTGTATTTATTATATATATGGCGGTAGTTAAATTTTAAAATATTAATATTATGGGGCTTTTATCTTGATTTTTAATAAGGTAAAATTAGATGGTCCAGAGAAGGAAACACCAAATCAGAAGAGCAGCAGTGATCTTCAGATTAAAAATGAAGGTGAAGGCACAAAGGCATGGACGCCATCAGATCTAAGGGGACGTGCTGATCCCAACTTGAATGCTATAAAAATTGAGCAGTTATCTGATGATGAAGAAATAGACATCACAGATGAGGCAGATGAGTTGACTTCTCAAGCTCCCCAAAAGAATTCTAGCAATGATGTCTTATTAAATATTCCTAGTAGTATAAGTCATGAATCCAGCCAAGGGGAATTTATTGCTTCTTACAACCAAGAAGATTCTGTATCTAAATCTTCCAAGGAATATTTTCAGAATATAAAGCAGGGAGAGATGGAAGCACTTTCAAGCTCAGGAAGTAAATTTTGGACTGAAACACAGAACACTAGTGACAAAAAGTCCCTTGAATTAAATGATCAGAAATGTAATAAAATGATGAAAAACTCTGAAAAACATGATGGAAGTGGAATAATGGATGATGCCAGGCCATTGTCTTCTCCAGAGCCTTGTGAAATTCAGAAAGACTTGAGTGATAATGAATTGCTTTTTCATTCTTCCTATCAAATGGAGGACGAGAGCCATGAGGAAGAAGAGCTTAAGCCACCAGAACAAGAAGTAGAAATAGATAGAAATACCATTCAAGAAGAAGAAAAACAAGCAATTCCTGAGTTTTTTGAGGGACGCCATGCTAAAACACCAGAACGCTATTTGAAAATTAGGAATTACATTTTGGATCAGTGGTAAGGAAGAACTATATTTTAGATACTGTTTTAAAACTTAACCATGCTCTAGAATATTTTAATTAGGCCTATGCAGAATTTTACATTGCTAGTGATACAGAGAGCTTGAACATGTGAATATATTTTAATAGGCAAGACTTAAAATTTCTCATAGTGAAATTTTCTTTGAAAGCTTTGGTAAATATTGTTATCTCTAGCTATCTCAACCCATCTGTCCATTAAGAGTATTTGGTCCTGGATAACAGGGATAATTTGCTTTGAGAAGCAGTTTCTTAGGACAGTATTCGGAAGAAACAGAAAACACTACTATACCAGAAAAAGGGGGAGAACATCTTTCCTAGTTTATCACGTATTTGTAAGTACAAAAAGAAAATTTTGTTGACAGATATATTTCTGTCATTAAATGTGGCTAGATTACAGAAACCATTCTCCATAGGTGCTTTCAGCTTTGAACTTGTAACATAATGTGTTAATAATCCCTTCATCCAGCTTCATCAGGATACAGGAATTTTTCTGATATGTGACATTTATCTTCTAAATTGTCAAAATTTGAATTATTTAGCATTGGATAGGGCATAAACCAAAGAATTTCCCACCTTCTTAGCCTAAGTGCTCTGCAAATAATTTGAATTTTCCATAGTTTAATTAAGATGTTATCAAACATAATTGTTATTGCTTCAGGAGATACTGAGTTGCATAGGGCCATTTTTACAGAGGACTTGTGCTGTAACCTAGGAAGATTTGCCAAAGGGAAACATGTAACCAGGCTTGTTACATCAGTACCCTTCATTACTCCCACAATATTAATTTGGCTTTTAAAGATAGCTCTATTCTAAATGAAAGATTTTTGTTCTTGTTCTTGACATGTGATTGTCTTGCTGATGCTTGGGATGGCTAAAGTAAAATTTCTGGGTACGGGGGGTATCAAATGAAAGAATAATTACAAGGAACAACTGATATTTGCATAGTGCTTTATAGTTTACAGAAAGCTTTTCCATGTTTGATTCCTCACAACAATCCTATAAAATAGGCAGGTGGTGTTTTTTTGTGTGTCTGATCGATTTTGTGGTCTGGCAAAGTTTAGGGGGCTTTGATCATACAACAAGTTACTGACAGAAGGACCTGTGTGCAGGTCTCAGCTCTGTCAATCACTCTCTCCATTATTTCACATTGCCTGATTCGTTCACACTGTTGAAGAAGATCAGTCAAATTAGATCTCTATGGGTATCTAATTTTGTTTTTGGAAATAGGATGAATGGCCAAAGTTGAACTTCAAAATAATAACTCAAAAATTTTTTATCTACATGAATCATCAATGAGTGACTTAATATAGTACTTTAATCAATTTGATTTATTTGAATTTTGGATTCCCAATAAGGCAGAATAATTTACATAGTATAAATGATAAGGGCAGTAGTTTCCTAATCTAATCTAATAGTTTCCTAATCTGGCCTTAGTTCATAAAACCAGTTAAATGTTGTTTCAGTATGGTGATTTAGCAGAACAGTGAAAGAAAAATGTTTCGAACAGGAACTCAAAGCTATTCTTTTCAGAAATAGAAGAGGGGACTGGAGGTGGTGTTAAAAAAAAAAAGTAGAAGAGTTAAAGTTTTAAAATAAAAAGGCCTGCTAGATTTGTTTGTGGCTAAAAGATCCTTTCCATAAAATCACATGCAACTGACTCCCTGTTTAGAAGTATGTTTTATTAAGGTAACCAATACCATTATTATTGAATGCCTATGGAATGCATGTAAATGTATTTAAATCATCCCCAGTCCTCTTGACAACCTTGTCCTCGTTTTACAGATGAGAAAAGTGAGGTTCAAAGAGGAAAAGGAACTTGTTCAAGGTCACATTAGGTGGAGGTGATTTCAGGGTCTGCAGTCTTGACTATGTATTTTCACACTTCATCCAGGTCTTTGACCCAGACTTTTCACTCTCCCTTGGATGCTCCCCCAACCTGGCCCCCAAGATCTTGATGAATTGTGCTTCATTATCTCCTTCAGATCTGCTCCAAGGAAATGAGAGAACTTCACTACCCCCACCCTATGTAAAATAAAATAGTTCACATGTCTGCCTCTCACTCTCTTACTCTGTATTTTATTTATCTTCGTAGGACTTATTACTACTGAAAATATTATGTTTTTATTTGTACATTGTCTCCCCTTTCTCCCCCTTTCCTCCTCATAATAATACAGGTTTCACAGGAGCAGATTTTTCTGTTTTTTTCCTTAACACCCCTAGTGCTTAGGGCAATGCTTATCTAAGCAAATACAGAGGCACTCTATTTGTTAAATGGGAAAAGATGACCCAAATGAATCATGAACAGGTATCTTTAGAGGCCTTACCATTTGTTCATCACTGTACTAGTGCTGAGCTCGGTTTAAAGACTTTTGAGTTGGGTGATCTTTAATTAAATTAATAGTTTTTAGATTCCTATAGACTTTTGGTAGCCAGTTATACCATGTTCATTCCTGCTTTCTTGCCTTTATTTGTGCAGTTTCCTTTTCTTTCACACTGAAGTGAAGTGAAAACACACTGAAATCTCAGCTTTTCAGTGGAATTTCTTTTTTCCCCCCTAAGATTTTATTTATTTTACAGCGAGCATGTAAGTGAGGGAAGGAGCAAAGGCAGAGGGAGAGGATCCCAAGCAGACTGCCTACTGAATCAGGGCAATGCACGAGACTCAATCTCACAATCCTGAGATCATGGTGACCTGAGTGGAAACCAATAGTTAGGTGCTTAGCCGACTGAGTCACCCAAGTGCCCCTCAATGAAATTTCTGATACCCTGCCACATCAAAAATTACTTTGCCTTCCCTGAACGTCTGTAGAATTTATGATTTTTTTTAAAGATTTTATTTATTTATTCATGAAGACAGAAAGACAGAGAGAGAGAAGAGAGGCAAAGACACAGAGGGAAAAGCAGGCTCCATGCAGGGAGCCCGGGACTGGATCCTGGGACTCCAGGATTATGCCCTGGGCCGAAGGCAGGCGCTACACTGGTGAGCCACCCAGGGATCCCCAGAATTTATGATTTTTAAGTTTGGCTTCTGCTTCAACAGGCCTTACTGAATATCCTGTCTAAGATAGTCGGTCCCTAGTTGTCTCTGACTATCCCCTATCCGTTTTTTTTTCCTTCCTAGCACTTACTGCTACCTGACATTGCTTTATTTATATATAATAATATAGTAATATATAGTCATATATTATATATAATTTATATAGTATTATATAGTATTATATAGTAACATATTACATATAATTAATATATAGTAATATATAATATATAGTACATATTATTCATTATATGTATTGTCCTATTAGCATGTAAAATTAGGAACTTTATATTCATATTTGTATCTTTACTGCCTACAACAGTGGCTGGTGTGTAGGATGCAAAATAAATTTTTGTAGAATATAATAAATAAATACCTGTTATATAATGTATCAGAATACTTAGTTTATAATGTCTGTACGTAAATCTTGACTTTATTTTTGTAAGTGAATACTTTAATCCCTCTGCTTTTTTGTTTCCTCATCTCTAAAGTAAGAATAGTAAAATGTACTTTGTAGAGTTATGAGGATTAAAGTTGTATAATTATTAGTACTGACACAGCATTCAGTAATTGTTTGCTACTGTTAGTAAGTTCTTCGTTACTCTTAAACTCTATATACCATGGTACAATAAGTATATTCAGTAAATCTCTGTTTTTATTATGTAAACTTTAAGTTTTTCATAGGCTTTGGGCATTTTTTGATTCCTTGGAAATCCTGTAAATGTATTTCTGTTTTCCACAGAGAGTAAGCACTTGATATTTATTTGCCTAATGTTTAAAAACCAATATAAAACTTTTAAGCATTATAAGGTAGCTTATAATTAAAGATACTGCCCGGCAAAGTAAAAGTAGATGAACCTAAGTAATATATAAAATTAGAAAAGCCTGATGTTAAATACTTTAGATATATCATCAGAGTGCCCTTTTTATTCAAAGATTGAGGCTTGAATTTGGATCTATAGACAAAGCTTCTAATTTTAAAATCCTGGGATACCTGGAGTCTGTTACATTTCATATGGAAAAAAAGTAATAATAAAAATCACATTATACTCGTATAATAAGTCACATTATACTTGTATGTTATTTTATCATTTAAAGATATTTCAGGAAAAAGTACACTTGGGTGTTATGTATTAGCATTGTTCTTCCTACACATTTACCAATTGAGAAGGGGTAAATTTTTAAGATATTTCAAATATTAAAAGTAATCCCCAGAAATCTTTTTTTCATGTTTTTATTTATCCAAAATAACTGTACTTCCATCTCTTAATTAGGGAGATATGCAAACCGAAATACTTAAATAAGACCTCAGTACGTCCTGGCCTGAAGAACTGTGGGGATGTTAATTGTATTGGACGGATTCATACATACCTCGAGTTGATAGGAGCAATCAATTTTGGATGTGGTAAAAATAAAAACCCAACAACATCTTTTACTCGACATTTTTTATCGTTAGAGCACCCATTAACTTCTTTCATGATTAGAATTCAAGCAGATTTAGTATAGATAGAGAATTCAGAAAGATGCTATAACATTATGGAGTAAATGTATTATTGAGTTTTTTAAAGACATTTCTGTTGATTAAACTATATTTTCCTATAACCTACAGTGAAATTGGTATATAAGGAAAAATACTCAGTCTACTTAAGTAGTAGAAGTAATATAACAATGCAGCTTTTTGTCAAGTAAAAGTAATTTTAAGAAATTCTAGTAATAGCCCATTTAATTTGTGAAATCTGTATTAATGCTAGAAATACTGTCTAGCAGTGTTTAAAGAAAACAACTTATGAGCCTCTACACTTAAATGTAATTAAAGTGCTAAAATATTTTTCATGGAAGAAAGTTTCTTTCACCCTAGTTTTTCTCAAATTTAAAGTCAATGAATATGCATGATTTTAAATGTATTCTTCACTTTTGTTGAATTAACGTGACACAGAACATTTTGAAGAAAGATAATAACCATAGTTGCAAAGTAATAAAGTAATTAGAACTTTGTAACCCATGGTTTCAGAAGAGTATATTCTATGATCTATCTATCTATGAGAAGCCATTAACCGGAAAATTTCCTATCAGAGATTATTTTATTTCATAGAGAGAAAGAGAGAAAATTAAGAGTCTACCCTGTGGTCTGCCCTTCATTTCAGTGTCTTTGTTTCCTCAACCACTGTACATGGGACTGGCTGGTTAAGAGAACTAAGATCCCCTAGCTTCCTCAGTCACACAAGAAAAATTGTGTTTTCTGCATTAGACCTCTGAATTCAGAAGAGTGGGCTTAGCACTCATTTAATTAGAAATTAAATTACCCATCTCACAAAAACCCCGTTTTATTGAGATTTCCTTAAGAGCATTACTTTTACATGAGGACTTCCAAGTGGTTGTAGAGTAGGCTTAGAAGATCAGGTATAACAAAACTTAGAAATTGGCTTACAACTTACATCTGTGTAGATGTGTCTTCCTAGTTAACCAATGAGTTTCAGAAAATAATTGATTGTTTTTCCTGAATTCCAATAGAACAGGCTGTATACAACAGGCCACAACCAGTTGACAAAGTACGAGTCAGAGACCGAAAAGATACAGTCGAAGCATACCAGCTTGCACAGCGGCTGCAATCTATGGTAAGCAGCCACCCTTTGGTAAGAGACCTCTTCAAATTGCTCCTTGCCCTGTTGAGTAAGGTGTGCTTCCTTCTCACCAATGATTTAACAAATAGGCATTTAGTAGAAGAACATGTTTTCTCATGTATTTCACCATAGCCATTCACTTTCTTGGTTCCCATTCAGTTTCATGTTAAAAGGCAAAAAACAAAAAACAAAAAAAAAAAAGCCCTCAGTTCACTGACAGACCCTTGTGCTTTGCTGGCGACATGGTCTTAGACTGCTTGGTTCTAGTTTCTTTATCTAGCATGTCTTTACATCTATACAGTTAAGCTCTTTTTTTCTCTTTCAGTTCCTTTTTTTTTTTTTTAAGATTTTATTTATTTATTCATGAGACACACACACACACACACAGAGGCAGAGACACAGAGGGAGAAGCAGGCTCCATGCAGGGAGCCTGATGTGGGACTCGATCCCGGGTCTCCAGGATCAGGCCCTGGGCTGAAGACGGCGCCAAACCACTGAGCCACCTGAGCTGCCCAGTTACTTTGTTTAAAAGTTTGAACTTTAGGTTTCAGCTTTTCGGAATAGCTATCCAAACTATTGTAGTCTTTTTTAATTCCTGAGGTTATTGAGTTTTAAATATCTTAAAATTCATGAATCTAATTTTTAAAATGATCCTACAAGTCCTCTAAAAAACCTCATTGGTTTTAAAATAAAATAGGTTGAATTGGTAATAAGTGAGGCAAATGAAGAAAAGTGTCCATAATAAAGTGGGTATTTTTCTCAGAGTATTTAGGCCATAAACCATTTCTACTTAGATTTACTGTAGTAAGAAAGGATGTTTTTAGATATAGTTGCTGGAAGGAGTGCTATTTGTACGTTGGCTTGTGATCCAGTGCATTTTAAAGGCTTCAGTGTTGAGGTTTACAAAACTGGGTATTAGTAATCCAGTCAGTTAACTTTGTGCTTTTTTATTATTTGTATCCATTAGGCAATCTTTCCCTTTGTAAGCCTGAGAAATAATTATTTTGCTTCTAGTTTTCAGTATTTTACTTCTTGCTGTGGGTTCTTGGAAGCTTTCTACCACAAGTGGTTGAGAGGGAAGTCATTTTCTTGATGGTTCTTTTGGTCTTAAAAATATCTTTTGTCCTAGTATTTTAGCTCCTAAAGGTAAAGAAAAATGAAAATTCAAGAAGAAATCTAAGTAAACTTGAGAGGATCATTACTGATTTATTTCTGAGCAGAGTGCTATTAAAAATAAGTCAATAAAAATTTAGTTATGCATTGCTAATCAGAGATTATAATATTTTAAGAAAAAAATTAACTGATTTTTAGAAAAATGTAATTTTGGTATTGTATATTACTGTGCTGTGATTTCTCCAAGTTAATCTTATTACCTTTTGCATTATTTTAATCTTACCACAGCGCACAAGGAGACGTAGGGTCCGAGACCCATGGGGAAATTGGTGTGATGCAAAAGACTTAGAAGGACAAACCTTTGAGGTAACTTTGACCTTTGCAAATAGCTCATCAGTAAAAGTTAACCTGCCAATTAACATTTGTATACCTTAATGCCACATATATTACACTCATTTGTATGTGTATGTATCCTTCCCATGTTACCCATGTTAATTTGCTTGTCTAAAAATCACCAATAAACAACAAAATAGAAGGCATTGGTACAGTTAACTTGGCGTTTGATTCATTTCCTGAATTTTAATTATCTACCTCTGCATTCTAGTTCTAGCTCAAAAATACCTGCCAAGGTGCCAGGAAGTTAGTATGCCTAATTCATTTTAGTAAACATTTGTAGGATAATGTTTTAATACGGCATTTAAAATCTTGTCCTAAAAAAAAAAATAAATAAAAAAAAAATAAAATAAAATCTTGTCCTACACATTAGACATAATTTAAATTACAGATATTAAAGTATTTCTTATAAAAACTGATCCTAAAGAGAAACACAGGCAATGAATGTGTGTGTGTATATTCTAAATCTATATAATTTATTTGTGAACATCTAGTGCAGTAGAATGGAAAGAATTTGTGAATGGGTACTTACTGACTTTGTTACCTTGAGCAGTTTCTTAACCACTAAAGTTCAGGTTTATCTATAAAGTGTGGATAATATCTCTCAAAGAACTGTTGTGAAAATTAAGTGAAGGAAGTAGGATAAAATGTGTGGAGGTCCTAGTACTAGGCACTTAATAAGCCTTGCATATACCAGTTACTCAGTAAATGTTACTTCTCCTGGGTTTCAGTGCCAAAAAAAAAAAAAAAAAAAAATTGTTCTTTCTCTCTTTCCTATTTCCTGCCCCCAACCTCACGCCTAAGCACCAATATCGGCACATTAGTAATTCGTGGTTCCTGCCTAAAAGGAACTTATATTTCTGGTAGGAAAAATGATCTGTGATAAGTTCCATAAGATTGGTCTTAAGAAAGGTCAGGTCTTGGGATGCTTAGTTGTTGAGCATCTGCCTTCATTCAGCTCAGGGTCTTGGGGTCAAGTCCCACATCGGGCTCCCCTCGAAGAGCCGGCTTCTCCCTCTGCCTGTGTCTCTGCCTCTCTCTGTGTGTCTCCTGAATAAATAAATAAGATCTTGAAAAAAATAAGGTAAATATCAGGTCTCCCCCAAAGAGTGTGATCAGAGGTGGTGTCACAGGAAATGTGATATTTCATCTGTGACATGAAGGATAAGCAGGAGGATTAGTGCATGAAGGCATTCCAGGCTAAGGGAGCAGCCTAAATAAAGGTACAGATGGGGAAAAAATATCAGACATATTTTGGAAAAAATGCGTAGTTCATTTGGGCTGGAGTGTAAAGAGTGGTAGTAGAAGTGGGATAAAAGATGTGTTCTGTACTTCACATTATTATTAGGATTTTATAAACATTAATTAAATCATCTCTATAACACCAGAACATTGTTGTTATTACTACTTGTGTTCCTGTGTGAAAGGTAAGGAAATTAAAACACAGAAAACTTCAGTAACTTGGCCAGGGTCACCCAGTGGGTAGCAGAGCCAGGCTTTTTATCTCCAGAATCTGTACTCTTTACCATTATGTTACAATGTCTCCTGCTTGGGGAAGAAAACTCAACACAGTAGGACTTGGTGATTAAGTAAGTGGAGGGACTCAGGTGATTTCTGAGGTTTTTGAACCTGGGTGGTGCCATTAATTGAAATGAGCAAAACGAGAAGGAATAAGTTTTAAGTTTGGTATGGTTGTAGATTGGGGAACAATTTTTTTTATCTGTTTCCTAGCATTTCAATTTGATAGTAGAAAGAAGGACACAACATCTACATGAACATGGTCAATCTCGTTCTCACATGCCCTTAAATATGGTCTAAGAGTTGTTTTTGTTTTTTATTAATTCTGTCTGTCAGTGGCTGATGGACTCTGATCAACTGGTGTTTTGTATTTTAGCATCTTTCTGCTGAGGAATTGGCAAGAAGAAAAGAGGAAAAATGTAAACCTGTCAAATCCTCAAAAGTACCAAGACCAACAAAAAGGTATACCATTATATAATTTTTTTAACTTACCACAAATGATTAGGAAATGCATGGGAAAAAATATCTCATATGACATTATATTAAGTTGAAAAATACTAACATTTTGAAATTTTTTATTTCACTGATTATCAATTTGGAAGACCTCGAGCAAAAGTTTTAAATTTATGTGGGTTTAGTGACTGTAGGATCCAACATATGTTGTAAAGGGGCTTTAACTATGATAAGTGGTCATTCAACTCCTTAGATATTTTAAACAGGTAACCTCATGAAATGATTAGTTCTTTCTTTGGTTGGTGCTGATTGTTAGCAAGGTTTTTTGTTTCTTAAATAATCTAATATTTCTAACGTGTAACAGTAAAGGTCACCAAATAAGTTAAATGTCTTGATTTTCTAGACGCTCACTTTTTGCAGATGCCCCATTGAATAGGGTATAGTTTTGTCAGTGTCCCTTTTAAAACAAGATTATCTAGGAATGCTACTAAGTAATTTTCAATGGAAAGAGCCCTAATGCTTATTAACTAGGAGTGTGTCCCTAGGTGTAAGTTACATAAAGTCTTAAGCCTTCAGTCCTCATTTATAAAATAGTAGCTATAATAGCTAACTCTGTTATCTATGCTTTAAGCACTTCGTGTATATGAACTCCTTAAATACTCATAAGTACCCTATGCAGTAGTTAATATCATTCCCACATTATAGATGAGGAAACTGAGACACAAAAAAGGTTGAGTGACTTGCCCGTGGTTGTCAGTGATGAGGCTGTGATTTACATCTAGGCAGTTAGTTTAAGGAATCATATTGCTGACCATCATAATATTTATATATCACCTCTCTAAAATAAAAATTAAAACTTAAGAGTTGAATTGAACACCAATAAAAAATAAATTTATGAAATACTAGACTCCTCATCTAGTATCTAGACATTTGATTCTCTGAATCTAAATGTGAGACTTATTTTGTGACTCCCAAGTCCCCGTTCCAGTTTGTCAGGATCTTTCTGAATCCAGATCCACTTTTCTCATATTTGCCTTCATAACTTTGAATCATCAGCATTTCAGTAAGTTTACCTCTTCTGTCATTGGCCACTGATTAAGTAAAATGTTTAACTGAGATAAATATAAGGCTCAGACTTCATTGTTCAATCAGCTGTACATTGCCATGGTTAACCCGTGTCTTTTCATCTTACACAGAAGAAAAATTTTAGCAGATGTCTTGCTTATATTCAGGTAAAATATATTTGAATCTTTATGAGTCTGCTAGTTTCTAGCAGATTAGTCCTATCAAAAATAAAATTTAGATTTACTTCTATTTTCATAGATCATTATTATTATTCTTAGTAGTCACCTCTTCATTTGGTAAAGGCTCAAAATCAGCTGTTTAATAATCTTTTCCAGAATTTCTCAATATTTAACCCTCTGCTTCTAAAGTCTGTTTTTCCCATGTTTTGAAAACAAGGCCAGGGGCACCGATAGCAGGTCATGATCTCAAGGTTGTGAGAGCGAGCCCCATGTTGGAACCCCACGTTGGGCTCACTGTTGGGCTTGGAGCCTGGTTGAGATTTTTATCCCCCTTCCCCCTCCCAGTTCACACACACATGCATTCTCTCTCTCTAAAAAAAATAAAATAAAAACAAGCCCGATAATTGCCTATTTGTAGCCCTCCAATAATTTTTCCATTCCTTAAAGTTCCTCCAACAAGATCAGTGGGGTTTCACATCATGCTTCTTCAGGGGATGTATATACTGTCTATTCTTTTTATTTATGTTGATGAAGCATTTTTTTATTTGGGGATCTTTTCCCTTCATTCAACAAATATTGTGAGTGCTTGCTATGTATCAGGCACTGTTCTAGGAACTTGGATTACAAAGTGTCTGATTTCCTAGCACTAACAATCTCTGGTAGAATGGGAACTAAATAGTCCTGCTCTTTTCCAGTCCTGTTAACATAAACATATTCCTTGTTGGTTTGTGTGTTTTCTTCTCTGAACATAGCCTAAAGAAAGCCTTATTGATCGTTCCTAATACCTTTCTCAAACCTCAGCTCTTTACCAGTTAAAGCTTTTGTAACATTTCTCTTAGATTTACACATGCTTTTGTATCTACCCTTACTTGTGTTCTCCTCTTTTTGTCTTTTTTTTACTCTTTCATTGTAAAATTAGAGTTTATCATAGAACTTTATATATATATATATATATAATACATATATATATATATTAATTTCTTTAACAGAACTGCTTGTCTATTCATTCAGCAAAGATTTATTGAGTCCCTACTCTGTGCTGTTAACTGTACTTACAAGTATTTTTGAGAAACTTCCATCCTTCTTGAACTTTCTTTCCCATGTCATATTAGAGAGTTGTTTACATTTTCTTCCAGTTTTTTGAAATACACTTATGTGTATTATAATGTTCTTTTCTTTGGGTATTAAATTAAGACAACAGAATTGCTTTCTCCCAAAGGTCTTATTATTTCCCATATTTTTATTGAGTCCAAAAAACCAGTGCTTCCCTCAAAAGGGTTGTATATAGAATGTCCTAAGAAATTCTCCTAGTTTAGTATTTTTCTGAAAATTTGGGTTTAGATTATTGATACATATTTTCTAATTTAAATGAATATTATTTTCTTGATCTTCTTATTGAATTATATTAGAAATGACTTTTTTTTTCTTTTCCAGCTCGTTTGATCCCTTCCAGCTGATACCTTGTAATTTTTTCAGTGAAGAAAAGCAGGTACTATTTATGCATTAGTGAATGGCCATAAATAATGCCCCTGTCAGGCATGAAGTATTTCTTCTTTTTCTTTGTGTGCGAGGCATATATATATGTGAAAGATTGGACAAGGCAAAGTACATTAAGGGTCAAATGAGTGATACAGTTGGGAAATTAAAGAATTTTTCCATGCTAGGATTTTGAATGATAGTTTATGAAAAATTCTCTGGCTTGTGCTGAGCCTTGGTTGGTGATGAGAACTTGGTGTGACAGGTGAAGGAGAAAAGGGTGGACGTTCCAGTGAGGAAGAACAAAATCTCTATTTTTATGCTCCCCCATTTTTTTTTTTTTTTTTTATATTTCAGGAGCCATTTCAGGTGAAAGTGGCTTCAGAAGCACTTTTAATAATGGATTTGGTAAGGATAATCTATTGTGTTTACTTACTCTGATTTCTATTCTTGTGTATTTTTATTGCAGGCTTAAGAGGGAGTATGGAAGACGTGTATTTTGGATCTTAACTATCCTCTTTTACAAGGAATCTAAAAATAAGTCTTTTCTTTTGGAGAAAAGCCAAACAATTGCATGTTTCCATATTTTAGAGAAAATAAATTAATGTGAGTTTTGCAGACTGTTTATCATCATTAACCCTATATTCATTTTCTGGTATCCTTTGTCTGCTGCCTTTTAGATAATTGCAACAAAGCACAACTCCTACAATTGGGAGGCTCCTTGTTGGCACTAAATTACCAAGACCTCCAATAGTTGTGTTTGTTTAGGGTGTTTTTCTGTAGGAGGACCCAGAGCAGTTTACTTTGTATCCTCTGATACCTTTCCTGAGAAGGAAAACAAATGGTATCTTCCTTTTTTAAATTTAAAAATGGTATCTTGGAGTATTTGAATATTTGGTTCAAAGCTTCCCAGCTGGCAGTGAAGATAAATCTGAAATCCTAAATTTCTTTGCACTGAGCCTAGCATCTAATTCCTCTACTATGCTACTTTATTTTACAAAAGCATAGTTAACATACTTATAGATGACTCTTCTGTGATAAGTGAGTTTTTTTTTTATTTTTTATTTTTGATAAGTGAGTTTTATTCTGATTTTTTGTCAGATGGATTTGTATGTTTGAGCTAAGTCTATTTTATATTTCTTTTTAGCATGCTCATGTTTCTATGGCAGAAGTGATTGGTCTATTAGGAGGAAGATACTCAGAAGTTGATAAAGTAGTTGAAGTAAGTTCTCTCTTGTTTTAAAATAATTTTTTAAAATTATTTAGTCCTGCTGCCATACCAAATATTTTTATAGATTTCAGTGGATAGGGATCCCTGGGTGGCGCAGCGGTTTGGCGCCTGCCTTTGGCCCAGGGCTCAATCCTGGAGACCCGGGATCGAATCCCACGTCAGGCTCCCCGTGCATGGAGCCTGCTTCTCCCTCTGCCTGTGTCTCTGCCTCTCTCTCTCTCTGTGTGTGACTATCATAAATAAATAAAAATTAAAAAAAAAAAAAGATTTCAGTGGATATAATTAAAATACAGACTTTTACCTGTGATATAAATGAGACTATACAAATGTGTTAGATATTCCCAGGAGCAAACTAACATTCCACATATTGAGCACCTGTTCCTTTTGCCGTCAAGAAAGAGGGAATGCTGCCAGCCAGGCCTTGCTTTCTCATTTCCTTCACCAATAAAAAGCTACAACTACTTTAAGAGGCCAGGAAGCATGCACCAAATTGAAACTTGGCATGCGTCACTCTGTTGTAATCATTATCATAAATAAAAGGAGTCATTGAAAGACTATGTACAGATATGATAAGGGCTGACTTAGAAAAATAATAATTATTATTACGGCCTTGTTTGAGTAGAAAAATGGATTCTGAGTTCCTACATACAATCACACTTTTGGAGTGTTATTTATTTGCCAGTTAAAGGCTGCCTGTGATACTGCCAAATACTTTCACTGGCTTAAAAAAGTTTCTGTATCTATGTATGAAAGAACTAAAACATTAAAGTAATAGAATTAACAGGATTTCAGTGTAACCATATAAGGATTAATCTTTTATAGGTCTGTGCAGCAGAGCCATGTAATAGTCTGAGTACAGGACTGCAGTGTGAGATGGATCCTGTCTCACAAACACAGGCCTCAGAGACCTTGGCTGTGAGAGGCTATAGTGTTATTGGATGGTATCATTCTCATCCTGCCTTTGATCCAAATCCTTCCTTACGAGATATTGACACTCAAGCCAAGTACCAGGTGGGCTTGTAGGTTTTATGTGTAAATAATTGCACCTTTTCTCCTCCTTTGTTGTTTTCTATGAAATAAATGTATTTATAGCATTTCTAGCCAAGTATTGCATTTCTAATACTATTTACATCTGGAGTTTTGAAATAACTGCATTTTTTTCTGATCACAAGAGTAATATGTGTTTAAACACTTAGGACATCAGCTATTTTATTTAGTACAGACAAACCATCTAACAGTGATAAGTACTCCTAGAGCCTTTAAAAATTGATGGGAATGGGGCACTTGGGTGGCTCAGTTGGTTAAGCATCTGGCTCTTGATTTCAGCTGAGGTCATGATCTCAGGGTCGTGAGGTCATGATCTCAGGGTCGTGAGATCAAGTCCTGCATCAAGTTGCACACTCAGTGTGGAGTCCGCTTGGGATTCTTTCCCTCTTCCTTCCCCTCCCTCCTCCCCTACTACTCCCCCTTTACCGTTCCCTCTCTGTAAATAAAAATAAAATCTTTAAAATATAATTGATGGGAACAACTAGGACAGGGTCTAGGTATGAATGAAGTAATCAGTCCCAGTCTATTTTACATCTCTGGTAAAAACTAAGTTTTGTTTTATTCTGATAGTTTATGTTGGATAGGTGAATGTTTTTGTTATAGGTAGCTGTTAATAAATTATTACCGTATTGATAAAGATTATACCTATAGTGAAAATAATCTGTAAACATATTCATGGCAAATACAGATTTTGGAGGCCACATGATCTAATTTTTAAGGGTCATTTCTGGTTGGGTTGAGCACATTTTGGCCTGAAAAATAATAGTGCGGAATGATACATATTCCAATTACTTGCTGTTTGGCTATAAAGTTTTTAACACACCTTTGTATTCCTTTTTTTTCCATTAGGTGTTTAAGATGTTGGTATGGGTAAATACTGATTTTTAAATTTATGCAGTCAAGACTAATTATACTTTTCTTTTCACTGTAGAGTTACTTCTCCAGAGGCGGTGCAAAGTTCATTGGAATGATTGTTAGTCCTTATAATCAAAACAATCCTTTACCTTATTCCCAGATAACCTGCCTGGTTATAAGTGATGAAATTAGCTCAGATGGCTCTTATCGTAAGTTTTCAACAAAAACAGCTTCACCCAACAACTTCACCCTATCTCAGCCTTCCTTTCTTCAAATCTCACATATGTGAGGCTGTGTGATTGAGAAGTTTGTCCCATCAGCTAGGGAATAATTGTTTGCATACCATGTAGTGCAGCCATCCTCTTCCCTTTGGTGATCCCCTTGCAGATTCACGTCCCCACGGTGTTAACCATGGCCACTGGGCAGGAGGATTACAATGTGGGGAAAAGTTCGGGCCAAGCAGTGTCCATGTTAGGTACAGGCATACCTCAGAGATACTGCAGGACTGCAGGTTTGGTTCCAGACCACCATGATAAATTAAATGCCACAATAATGAATTTTTTGGTTTCCTAGTGCATATAAAAGTTATGTTTACACTCTACTGTGGTTTATTATGTGTGTAGTAACATCATATCTAAAAAATGACATACATACTTTAATTTTTTTTTAAGTAAAGATTTTATTTATTTATTCATGAGAGACACACAGAGAAGCAGAGACACAGGCAGAGGGAGAAGCAGGCTCCATGCAGGGAACCTGACATGGGACTCGATCCTGGGTCTCCAGGATCACACCCTGGGCTGAAGGCGGCACTAAACCGCTGAGCCATCCGGGCTACCTGGCATACTTTTTTATTTTATTTTATTTTATTTTATTTTATTTTATTTTATTTTATTTTATTTATTTTATTTTATTTTATTTTATTTTATTTTATTTTATTTTATTTATTTTATTGTATTTATTTTATTGTATTGTATTGTATTGTATTTTTTTATTTTATTTTTTTATTTATTTTATTTATTTTATTCTATTTATTTTATTTTATTTATTTTATTTTATTTATCTTTTAAATGGAAATTCAGAATGAAAGACATTTATTTTTTTTTAATTTTTTTATTTATTTATGATAGTCACAGAAAGAGAGAGAGAGAGGCAGAGACACAGGCAGAGGGAGAAGCAGGCTCCATGCACCAGGAGCCTGATGTGGGATTCGATCCCGGGTCTCCAGGATCGTGCCCTGGGCCAAAGGCAGGCGCTAAACCGCTGTGCCACCCAGGGATCCCTGGCATACATATTTTAGTTAAAAAGTACTTTTGCTAAAAAATGCTAACCATCATCTGAGCTTTCAGTGAGTCATAATCACTTATTACAGATCACCATAGCAAATATAATAATAATGAAAATTTTTAAATATTCCAAGAATTGCCAAAACGTGACACAGACACAAAGTCAGCAAATACTATTGGAAAAATGTTGCTGATAGACTTGCTTGACTATAGGGTTGCCACAGACCTTCAATTTGTGAAAAACACAATAACTGTGAAATGAAGCGCAGTAAAATGAAGCATAATAACCCAAGGTATGCCTGTCCTAGAGTTTTAGAGTTACTGCTGTAAGTGAAATAGACAAAGTCTCTGTTCTCAGGAAATCTTGTATGAATATAGACTGGCTTTCTCTACAGTGGCATTCAAATGGGAAAAAAATAATAATAATAAGGAAAAATTACCACCCTGTTACCAGTTCTCTATGGCCTCTCAGTTTAGGCTTTATAGTGCCTGACTGGTTTCCTAGTCTTCGTTTCCATTCTATCCCAAGAAAGTATGTGCTGGGCTTAGCCCAGTCATATGATTTGATTCCTTTGGGAATTACGTTACTTGTAGTCCAGTCAACTCTGGCTGGACAGGGAATTAGTGTAGCAGACTAAGGAAAAGAGGGGAATGTAAGAGGCAAGTGTGTAGAAAGGAAAAGACTTGAAGAAACAATGACATTTCTGGGATATTTATTTTCTCTTCTCTATCCTTACCACAGCTGCTCTCCTTCACTGTCCTTTTTTTTGATATTGTCACTGAACATTATACTGTTCCCCATTAGCTCATGAGCTCCTTGAAGGTAGATGTTATATTGGACTCATCTCTCTGTCCTCAGTCTCTAGCACAAGGCCTGGCATAAAGTAGGTATTGAGTGAATGTTTGTTTAACAAATTAACTTCATTGTTTTTAATGATGTCACTTTAATGATGCCATCTCTTTGGCAGAGTAGTGCTTACCCCCATGTCATTGCAATTAGTTGCTCTGTTCTTTGTGCATCTGCAACACTTGTTTCCTGCCCTCAGGGTGCTTTTATCCTTTAAGTATAATCTATCCATTTGACATTTCACACTAAAATCTGAACCTCAGAGAGCCCAAACTGTCTTCTTTGTCTGTGTATCCCCACCAGCACCTAATTAATAGTTGCCTTGCACCTAGGGAGTGGTCAGCACTCTACTGGTTTTTATTGAACAAAGAGTATTGACATTAGCTTCAGTCCAAAATGCCCAGTTTGAACATAGCACATGTATATAACATTCTTTAACCCAATATAATTTTATAAAAAGTTACAAAAGGAGTAATCACAATTAACTTATTCTCAATTTAAGTCATTTTTTAAATCTTACAGTCTGCTAAATTTAGGAAATGAGCCTGTACTCTGATGCTTTCAGAGTATACAGAGAATACAGTAGCTGCCAGCTACATAAGACTATTTACTAAATAGTCTAAGAATTAAATGAAATTTAAAATTCAGTTCCTAGAATTCTGCTTCTGGCCCAAAGAAAGTAACAAAGACCTATCTGAAACAACCATAAAACTGGACAAATGTATAAGACAGTGGTGTTTAGGTCACAACATCAGGCAGTGAAGGGATATTGCTGAGAGATGGGAAACAAATGAGGGGAGCCCCAAATTATCCTAGCTTACCAACCTAACAAGAGTTTCCCAGTATGACACAAGGAGGAGAATGGAATGGCAGACTGAATTGAGGTGACAGAGGGAAGACAAAGCCAACTAAATTTGTAGGACACAGCACCCGAGAGCAGAAAGCTTCATGGGGAACCAAACTCTAGAGATTTGTGGAAGGGACAGATTTAGTATTAAGCAAAATATGCAGTGCATGCATGGAAGAAAGTACCCAAGCAGGGGCAGGAATCACTTGAAAGGATGAGAGGGAACTGTACTGGATGCTCTCATAAGGTACCACTAGACAGCACACAGTATTCAATATTTTCCTCATTGCAGAAAGTTCTGTTGGGCAGAGTTTCTCTTAAATGCCTCTTAACACTGCTTACTAGGTCTTAATCCTAGGTTCTTCACTTTGCTCTTATTTGGAAACATTCTAGTTCAAGAATTTTCAAGAAGCCATGGGATACCTTGTGTTACAGTACTTTTAACTTAGGTTCTCTTTTCCTTGCCTTTCCTGTCCTGTACTTTCTTTTTTCCTGTTAGGTATATAGCCATGTTCTGTCTTTTAAATGTTTCTAATGGATAAGCATTTTCTGTACTTGGAATAGGCAAAAAATATACTTAGTGATTAGTTTTCTTCTGATATTTTAATGGATTAAAAATATTCAGCACAAAAAGAAATTTGTACTGATTTTAGTGCCTTTTTTTTAACTTAGAAAAATACTCTTAATACCAAACAAAGCTGTATAGTTTGTGTGTGTGTTTTTACAGTTTTTCACCAGCACAGACTGAAAATGCATTCTTTATTCTTATTTTTGGTTCTCATTAAGAGTAGGAGTTGCTTGCCTAGATTCAGATCCCAGTTCTGACATTTATTGGTTATTTTACCTTGGGCAGATTACTTAGCCTCTCATTCCCTTTTGCCACATCTGTAAAATGAGAAAAAATTATTACCTTGCTGGGGCGCCTGGGTGGCTCAGGCAGGCGTCTGACTTTGGTTAAGGTCATGATCTCAGGGTCCTGCGATCAAGCCCTGTGTTCATCATCACCACACCACACTCAGCAGGGACTCAGCTTCTCCCTCTCCCTCTGCCTCCCCCCACCTTTGTGTGAGCTCTCTCTCTCAAATACATAAAATCTTTAAAAAAAAAAACTATTTCCTTGCTTTCAGGGAAGTTGTAAATATTGTTAGTATATCAGGTGCTTAGCAAATAATAGATCTTCAATAGGAAGTTGTGATTATACTGTTGTCTGAGCTTAGTTAAGTAATCAGAGCATTTCAAGTAAATTATCAATATCACCAAAAGGAGTTTGCTTAATAGCTTGTGTGCTGTAATGTGTCACTCTTCTCAAGTTTTTGGAGGGAAAAAGTGAAATGGAGGAGAATTGAGAAATAAAAAAAAGATCCACATGAAAAGAATAGGGGTGCTTTTTAGAACATATTAACAAAATAAGCTTGTTTTGTAAGGAAGTTAGTCATGGTGTTTTTCATTTCATTTTCTTCATGCCTTCTGATTTGCTGGCATTGTATTTACTTAAAAAGCCTTATATTGACAAAAACCCAGTTGAGAGGCAGTATATTGTAAAGTTAATAACAAACTTAAGCCAGACTGCCTGGGTTCAGATTTTGGCTCTGCCTCTTCATGATTATATATATATGCTGATGAACAGGTTATTTAACCTCTCTGTGACTCAGTGTCCTAATCTCCCTCCCCCCCTCCCAAAAAAAAGCAGGGATAGAGGATAATACTGGTAGCTAGTTTAAAGTGGCCTTACATATATAAAGCACCGTAAGCCTGCCATGTAGTAAGCATTATGTAAGTTTTACTATTATTTTTATGGTATTGACCTTTGGTAATGAATCACCTGAGCTTTTCTTTTTAATACACTGCAAATACAATTATAGGGAGATTTTGAAGGATATATGAGAAATCTCCAATAGGCTCATCCTTGGTATTTTTCCTTTCTAGCTGTGTGCATGGTATCTACCCCTTGGGCTCCTTTCCTCCAGAGTTTAGCCTGACAGTTTTGACTCTAGTGCAGTTGCTGCTTCTCCAGAGTTAATCCTATTTCCTGACTGGTGTTAACTCCTATAAGGAGGTAAAGTGAGTGTGGGCTCAGAAGCCAGGCAGACTTGCCAGAGTTTAAAATCCAGGCTCTTCAATTTCCCCAGCCTAAACAAGTTGTTTCACTGGTCTCGGCCTGTTTCTTTGTAAAATAGGAATAATGCTGCCTACCTTATAGCATTGCTGTAAGCTTAACCTATTTAAAAATAAAAATCACTGGAATGGAATGTCTTGTTTTGCCTAGCTCAGTGTCAGTTTAAGCCCGTGTTTCTGACAATTTTTAACAGTGCCCCCTTTCACTCAAAAAGTCTCTTGGTTTGGATATAAATTATGTGATCATCCTGCCTCTCAGTTCCTTACATATAATTGTCATGCAAATGGTACTTTTACTTTTCTTTATTATTATTAATTGCTTGGCATTAATGTGCTTGATGGACCTGGTTCAGCCAGGCAGTAAATATTTAATGAATGCCCACTATGTTTAAAGTGCTGTTCAGCTGGTCTGCCAAGTCGAGAGGGTGAGGATTTTAGGTAATTGAAAGGAGATTGCAGACTTAAGAAATAGTTGGTGATAGTCTGTCTGCCTCTTTATGCTCTTCTAGGTTTACCTTATAAATTTGAAGTACAACAGATGCTGGAAGAACCTCAGTGGGGATTAGTGTTTGAAAAGACAAGATGGATAATAGAAAAATACCGGCTATCCCATAGGTATGTACTGTGGTTGGAGATGGTTGCACATCTGCAGTGTTTCTCATTAAATTATGTTTTAGAGAAAACCCAAGTTAAATATAAAACTATGATATATGACATCAGTGACAGTTTATTACAAAGCTGATTAGTTTAAGGTATTTGTTTCATCAGTTTGTCTTCATATTTCTTCCAACAGCAGTGTCCCTATGGATAAAATCTTTCACCGGGATTCTGACCTGACTTGTTTGCAGAAAGTAAGCTGCCTTCATTTTAATTGGTTCTATTGTTCATGGATTCTAAAGCTATTCATCTTGATGTGTTTTCCCAGGATGCCAAATGCTTTGTAGATACATTTTCTGTGTATTTTTTATTGCTTTTTCCTTTCAAAAATTTAATTTCTAAGAGATAATTAGTAATATGTTTTGTTGCCCATACTTGCATATAGAAATAATATTATTTTAGAATAAATTTGTGTTGGCCAATAAATTTCTTAGCAGATTATTGTATGTAGTGGAGAACACTTTTCTCATTTTGTTAAATTCAAGTGCCATGTTTCCATTTAGGTGTAACAATTGATCATTTTTAAGAATGGTAGAATAAATCTAATAATTACATGTAAGTGGTCATTTTATTTAACTTTCTGGTAGGAAGTAAGAGTTCTGAATTCTTTTATTTCACTTCTTGTTTTGTTTCTATGAGTATAAAGAGTTAAAGACCATGAGACTGGCAACATCTTTTTTATTTTTTATTTTTTTGGTAACAGTTTGAGAATAGAAAATTTAAACATACTACATACTAAGTTTCTTTTTAGATTTTTTTACTCCCTCTGTTAAAGCTGCTTTCTCGTTCTGTTGGAAGATTAATACGCATATTTTTCAGGAATCAAACTCTAGCATCCTAATTTTGAAGTTGTCAAGTCCTGTATACGTACACAGATTTTTATTCTACAGGATTATTTTGCTGTGTAAATGTAACTTTAGAAAAAAGAAGGAAAGTCACAAACTTGTCCAGAGTAGAAAACATCACACTTAAAATCTTAGGTTTGTCTCCTCATATAAGATCATAAAGGAACTAAACCTAAGCATTTCTCAACAGTGACTTGCTGCATCTGGCTATATGATTATTCATCACAAATACATCTCCAGCCACGTTTAAGGAGACTGTTTCTTATTTGCACATTAGAAAATTTGAGATTTGGAAAGGGATACAATAATGATAGTAATGCAAACCCTCTTATACTTTTTGCGTATTTTAAATATAAAACTTTTCTTTCCAACTAGCTTTTGGAGTGTCTGAGGAAAACTCTGAGCAAAGTGACTAATTGCTTCATTGCTGAAGAATTCTTAACTCAAATAGAAAATTTATTCCTTTCCAATTATAAAAGCAAGCAGGAGAATGGAGTGGCTGAAGAGAACTGTGCTGTGGGTACAAAGGAACTCTTAATGTAATTATTTTAAAGTAAGACATTCTAATCTTGATACAGTGATCATGCTTTCAAAGTAATATCCTTGAAATTACTGTAATTTTGCTAATAGTGACACAACCTTAATATTTTTTCTCTAGCTCACAAAATCGAAACTTTGCCACATAAATGATGTGACAAAGAGATACGGACTGGCTTTCATACAGTGATTATCAGAGTGTTGTGTGAAGCAGGGTCTGCTGCAGTGCTGCAGACCAGCCATGGCCAGTAAGCAGTGCAGGAGACCAAAGGGCTGTCTGCTTTACTGTTGTATTCAGGTTGATAAATGGAATGTATCTCTAATATTTATTTCTCCCCAAATTTTGGTACCTCATGTCTCTGTCTCATTAGGAGTACTTCCATTTTTTTCCATGTGCTTTGGTGAGATTTGCTTATGGTTGCCAATGAGCTATGGATGGATGGCACTGAGGTAATTAACATGGTTGAGAACTATCGATATAATAAATCTAACAACAAGCTGTAGGAGGCCAGGGGAGGCATAAGGAGAAAATCTTAAACATAGAGAAGAAACCCAAAGGAGAAAATCAAATTGCCAGTTTTTCAGTTAATAGCGATTTGTTTCCATTTTATTTTATAGCAGTAATACTACAGGATATTGCCATTTTCTCAGCTAGCTGAAACCTTTTATATGGATTTCAGATACATAAAATAATTAGCTTCAACTATATGTCCACTTATATTCGTATGTGTGATGAAACCTCATTTAATTAGGACACAGATAATCATAACTCTCGTATTGGATTTTTTTCCCCTACTACCTGTTATCAGGAGAAAGTGGCAAATTATAATAACACTTAAATATTAAATCAGAGATTTAATTTTAAAAACAAAAAAGCCTTCCAGGACATACTACGTATCTAGCCCAGTTTCAAATACTTTCTAAATCTAGAACAGAAGTGAGCAAACTTTTTATGTAAAGGGACAGTTAAAAACTTGGGCTTTGCAGGTCAAATACCGTGTCTATCAGATATTCTGCTTTATACTTTTTTTATAATCCTTTAAAAATATAAAAACCATTCTTATTACCTCGTGAGCCTCACAGAAAATGGATTGCTGGCCATTATCTTCCAACTCTGCTCTAGAGAATTAAACACTTGTAATTTACTTTCAGATATACGAACCTGAGACACTGAAAGGCCTTGTTTACATCATCTTCAAACAACAAAACTTAAGATTGTGATTTACATTTAAGTACATTTTCAAGTAAAATTAGCAATCATGCTGCCTGATTTACTCAAATGGATTTCAGTTTATTCTGTTAGCCATAGAACTGATTTATACCCGTTCTTCAAGCACTCTTATTAATAATAGTTTTATTACATCTTACCTGGATATGATTCTGTATTTTTACCTTTTTTAGTAGTAATCATTAGCCACGGAAGAATATGACAGTGTCTGAGGGAGTAGTGAGCTAGATCTAGATGGCCTAGGTCTTGGCTCAACCTTGTGACTTGGGGGAAAGGGAGGGGTGGATAAAAGTTGACCTTCTCTAAGCCTAAGTTCTTGTATAACTGAGAGCTAACTTATCTTCTTAACATCCTTCCAGGTCTAAAATGCATTTCTCTGTATGTAGTTAGGATAAACAATGAAACATAATTTATAAAGCAATTCCCTTTGGGACTAGAGGTGTTAAGAGCTGTAGACCAACGTCAGGAAACCTGAGTCCTCATCCTAATTCTGTTACTGGTTTCACTCTCTGGAAGTGATAACATCACATAATCTGTCTGGACCTCATGCCCTTCACCTGTAATGCATGGGTCTGAGTTTTATGACTTTGTTTTTCCTTCCGAGCACAGAAAGTCTGATTCTATGATACGTAGTAATTGATTCGTTTGTATTTCTTCCTTTTAATGTGTTTTTCTCATTGTACATTGGGAACATATCCTAGAAATTGGTATGAATTAACTCTCTTGATTGACATTTCCCTATAATATCTATTAATTTGGGTGATAGAAAATAATGGAAATTGTTTAAAATTCTGTTCTCAAATCTGGATCCCTTATGTGCCAGTAACTAACCATATTTTCTAACCTAAGCCATACTGTGAAGAACTTGAAGATGGTAATCCTTGGAGTTTAGAGTGTGGAGAGCACAATTTTTAAAATAATATATACTGAGTGTTTTTTTTTTTCCTTGATGATAGAGTACATTTATCTCAAACTATTTTTTAAAAAACAGAAACATATATAAAAATATATAAATCCTATTATCTAAAAAACCACAGGTTAACATTTTAGTATAAGTTCTTACCCCTTTTTTTTTCCTGGACCATGTAATTTTAGAACATTATAATCTGTGATATTTTCCTTCTCTCCTTCATTGTTCGTTCTCCCTGTTTCTTTTTTTCTCTTATATTCTTGAAACACTTTTGAAATTGCAAGTGCCCACCCATGTTCCTGTCACTGCCAACTTAGGCTGCTTAGGGTAGTTAGAGCCAGGGTGCTGGAGAAGCACAGAGGAAGTCTGTAACTGAGGGCAATGTAACTAACATAGGAAGTTCAGGGGGGCAGAGACTCAAAGAAACTTACGTCAGGTGATGCTTACAGGAGTGGAGACAGGACCTGAAAACATCCAGATCTTTTCATCCTGATTTGATTCTTAAGACTGCACAATGACAATAAAATAATGAACTTAATTTTTTTTTCTTTTCTTGCTTGACTAGTAGAAATGGACACTAGTACTTCACAGTATTAGACTGAGCTCTATTAAAAATCTAATCCCAAAGTAACATGCAAAAAAGAAAAATCAGTGGAATAAGATCAACAAGATCAGACTCTCCTCATCCCTCCATTATTTTATCTTTGAACTGTCTTCAAACCCACATTATGTAGGACTTAGACACTTTTGCCTTCTTGGATGTTGTCTTCCATAAAAAATTAAAAATTAATTCATTACAATTTTATTTATATAAAATGAGTCTAATACTATATATAAACATGTCCTCAATCTAAAAGATTGGTTTTTTTCCTTCTGAATTTAAAAGATGAAAACATTTTTTATGGGCCTTAAAAGTATTGTGGGCTGGAGGCATGTTGCCTGAAAGATAAGGTGGCTCTTCCTATATTCTCAAGGATATCACTGGAGAAATAGCAGTCATGATTCTGTCGCCTGTAAAACTTATCTCACAAACCCTGGGGTAGCTTTGCCATCGCCACCAAGAATATTGCAGTTCCTGGGGCTTTAAATCTATAGACTTGAACCTTGTTCTTCACTGACATGACCAAAACTTAAGAATGTTGCTTGGGAAAAATCATCCTCCAAAAAAAAAAAAAAAGATACACAGTGATTAGTTTTAGCTTTTAAGTGGATATTTTTGTTCTGATCCTTAATCTGTAGTTGTGAAGCTCATGCCACATATCCTACCACCTTTTATTTCTTCATTTCCTTCAAACACACTCCCACTTTTTACCCACTCCCTCTACTTCTTACCTCTTGGCACATAGGTACAAGATGGTTCATATAACATTTGTTGAAAGCAGGGCCTAGAAGGATAGAGTTGAACAGACCCATTTGTATTTCATGGAAGCTGATTAATGCTTCCATGCCTTCTCTCCAAAACTCTCCTCCCCCACAGGAGTAGAGGTGAGGTCTGTGATGTGCAGACTGTTAAGTAAGCAGGGTCAGAGCCTCTGCAGCTGTCTGGGCAACAGGGTGATTGCAGTGTGAACAGGCCAGTCTGTGCAGGCCTCCTGCTCTTCAGTTGGTCATGTTTTTCTTTCTGGGTCCTAACGAGGTGAGCTGGAAGACTTGCAGGAAGTGATGTAATGGCAGGATGCTTCAGGATTGATGCTTTACCTGTGGATAAAGAGACTTATGGACATCTGACCACCTGACATACAGCTGTCAATCCTCAGGTCATCAACAGGCATTCAGTGGATGGATTTCTCAGTAGAAATTAAATAAGGGCACCCAAACTTCATATTTTTTTTTTATCGACACTCTCCTTTACCAACAGTAAGAGACTTAAGTCTAGAGTCCTACATCATGGCATTTAGGAAAACTTATTTCATCCAAGCACAAAGGAAAAAGCACATTTTTATCATCATCTCTATCATGATTAATACAAAATTTGATCAGTATTCTCAGTTTACCAGCAATTTTAAATAGTTTTCTTAAAAATCAATATAAAATTTGGAATATTTCCAGGAAATCACTATGTGGAGAATAATGTCACATACTTTAACTAATTAAATTTCTGACCTTTTCTTAAATGATTTTATGTATTCTATTCCTCAAAACTCTGTTTTCTCTGTTTTTTTTCATTTGCCCTGTAATTTGTGCCTTCTGGCATTTTCTGAATCTTTTTAGCCACCTTAAAATTTTTGTGGAAAAAGGCAGAGAATAAATATGTTAGCCCCCTAAATCAGGAGAAAATCAAAACTTCCCAGAGAAGCTGTGATTATACCAGATGCTCTGTACTGAACTAAATTTGAGAAGGTAAAATTAACTCATGATATCTGGGTTGTTTGTATTTTCTTCCTTTGAATATATTTATGAATATATTCATAAGAATTTTAATTTCAGGGGAAAATGCCTTATGTGCTGTCTTTGAGGTTTCCTAGAGTAGTCTCTTAGGATTTAAGAAGAATGTTAACTAGGATTTCATAGTTTGTACTCCTGTTTCATAGGTTACCACAGAACATTTGTTTAAAGCTATGAATTATAAAATAGTATTTAGAATCCAGCATGATTTAAATAGACTGGTCATAGATCTTTGAATTTGTGTATTTGATGTGTAAATTATAAATTGTGTATTATGTATATGTATCATATAAGTTTACTGTGATTATCGATGAACCTATTGCTATTGTTCCCCAAATGTTATTAGTGTTGATGGATTTCTTTTATTACTTTGAATTTTGGAATGTTCTATAATTAAAAGATAATGACATAAACTATTTTGTACATTTAAATATGATGCCACATTGTCTAAATCTATATTAAATAATATTGTAAATATTGTTTATACAGTTATGAAAGCTTCTCAAAATGGTTGGACTCTTCTCCCTATACTAAACAATGACATGTTATAAAATATCTGATTTTAAGCTTTGAGATTTTTAGCTTGTGATAAAAATTAAAGGGAAACATTCTGAAGATTCTATATAAATAAAATTCTGAGAAAAAGTGGTGGCGAATCATTTGATGTCTTTCTAAGTTTTAGCAGCATACACATTGAATCGCAAATATGCCCCCATTAATTCAAACATTGGTTGAATGTCTTATTATGTTGAGCTTTGTAGGGGACACAAAGATGAGTAAATCTTGATTTTTGTCCCACAAGAAGCCTATTACCTAGTAAGTGGGAAACACATAAAACCCAACATGGACAGGTAAGACACTAAGATACAAACTGAAATGGATTATAAATGCCTGTAAAGACTTCAAGGGCAATAGGTGTTTAGACAAATAATTCTCTAGAATGTGAGCAGTGAGATCGATTTCTTGGAAGACCTCATCTTTAGACATCCTGGCAGGGTTTGGTAAGTGACATTTGGGGAAAGATGTTTCAGAGAGGTGACCTTAGCACAGGGTCGGAGATAAGAAGTGGGAAATCGAGAATGGTGAGTCTTTGGCCAGAGGGTAGGGTATATGGAGGTGTTCATTAGGTAATAATTCACATTGAGCAACTAAGGATACAGAAGCTATAAAGTGAAAGAAAGTCTCATTTTAAGATCAGAATTAACTCACCGGTCTTTAACTCCCCAGTCTTTTTTCCTACCATATACAAAACCTCTTGAAAGAGGACTTTACCTACTTCCATTCTGACCTCAGTCTGTACTTTCTAATTGACCAAGTTCTTCCCAGCTTATCAACTCGGGCAAAAAGATGCTGTGAGCAAAGCATCCTTCGATAGGGACCAAAACTACCCCTTGGTTAACAGGGCCTGCCTTGAGCCAGCAAGAGCCTGCGTGACTGGCCCCGACACAGTGATCCACCTGACCTTTACTGCCCACCTGCTTGTACCCGTCCACTTAGCCCCATGTTTTCCTGATACACCTGGGAGTAGAAGTCTCTTCTCACTTTGGAGACAGACTTTGAGCCACTAGTTGGCTCTCTTCCCGGTGGTGGCCTCGCTGAAATAAACTTTCTTGTTTCACCCACACTCCTCTCTGCCTTTGGGTTTTGTCAGCAAGTTGGTGAACCAGGCCTGTTTGGGACCTGGCAATTCTTGGCAAGCCAGCGTGGAACTATCTTTTCAGTTTGCCCAGCCTCCTTGGGGTCGTGCCCCACCCCCCCTCGGCGGAGGGGTTGGTGTGGGCGGTGCACCAGGGCACAGCTGTTGACCCAGCAGGTGGCTGTGGCCGTCAGAGTCAGCTCCTGTGGTGAATGCCCCCCCTCCCCCGAATGCAGAGGACAGGAAGTCCTGGGCAGCTGCTGAAACTTGTTTTGTTGCAAAGATTTTCTTGCAACTTTGCCCTGAACTGCATCAACTGCCTTACGTGCATTTGGTGAAGCAGAGAAACAGGTTGAAGAATAAGCAGGCCCTAGGAATTTGGCTCCTGGTAAGTTCCCTCCACAGGTGTACATTGGAACCCATCCTTCCGTGGTTCCCTGCTCTTGGGTTCTTTGGAACCATTTATTTCAGGTTTTCATAACCCATTTATTCAGGCTCATGTTCCTTGAGTTGTGGCAGGGGCTGTTCTAATTTGTGGAGGTGCCCTTGGAAAGGAATGGGTGGGAGGGAGATAAATGGGAAGCCAGGGTATGCACTTGGGGAGATCTCTGTTGGAATTTGTGTGTGTGTGTGTGTGTACAAGATAGGGGATGCTAACCCCTCCCGAAGGCCTCTGGGGAGAATACTGGCTGGTGTACCTTTAGTTAAAACCTTACGACTAAGAAGAGGACTTTTTATTCTAATACTGCCTGGCCCATGGATGCGAAGCTCAGAGGAAAGACGGCCACCGAATGGCTCTGGTATTCCTTCCTCTCATTTGGTTGCCTCCAAATGATGGTGGTGGTGTGAGGGCTGGCAGGGAGGGTTGTTTGGCTCTCCCAATTTGTTCTGGAAAGTCGTTTGGTTCAGTTAGTGATGCTCTGACTTTTGGGGCAGAATGAATGCTAACATCAGTACTCTGAGCTTCATTTAGCCATAATTGTGTTTCTTCTGTGTTCTTTCTGGGCTTTTGCCTAGGAAGACGGAATCTTTTTGTTTTCCCAAGAAAGTGCACTAGGATATATTTTTGAATAATTTGGTGCAAAGACCTGAAAATCAACTGGAGTAAAAGCCTATTCTGAAGGCGAGAGAGACGGAAGACAGAGATAGATGAAGGGGTGTTATATAGATGAAGGGGTGTTAGTCCAAACTTTGAGTCCACCTCCAGCCTCGACAGTGGCACCCTGGCCTCTCCTTCTGTGTGTGCACCACCCCCGGTGCTTCTTAGTGGCCTCCTACACCATCCTCCTGCTCCTCCTACCATCACTGTTGAGTGAAAGCACCCCAAGCTGTCAGGCCATCTCCTTTTGAGGTTCAAACTGGAGCACCTCCCAAGTCAGCATAAAGGGGCCCACGGGCTCAAACTGCCCACGTGAGATTTCTCCACAGGAGCCCCAGGTAAAACTGACAGTGGGGAGTAGAGGGACTGACCAACACTGAACACAGGTGTGACATATCATTAAAGCTAATTTAAGTTTGCTGGTTTAACTAAAATAGGCATGCTTTTCAGAGCTATCAAACATCAAATATAATACAGTTATCAATTTCTACCTGAATTAAACTCATGTTTAATCTGTTGCAATTTGATGTAAAATGATGGATAATTTTGTCTCTCTCATAAAGCTTTCATGGGTAATTGTTAAGAGCAAGTATGTTGACTAAAAAGGTGTATAGCTTTCAACATCTTTGGTAACCAAGAACTGAAGTTTTGCTAGGTTAAATAACAAATGGGTTTGAATTCAGCAATTATCTAAATATTTCCAAATAAGACAAAATAGGGACACCTAGGTTGCTCAGCGGTTAAGCGTCTGCCTTTGGCCCAGAGTGTGATCCTGGAGACCCGGAATCGAGTTCCGCATCAGGCTCCTTGCATGGAGCCTGCTTCTCCCTCTGCCTGTGTCTCTGCCTCTCTCTCGGTGTCTCTCATGAATAAATAAAATCTTAAAAAAAAAAAAAAAAACAAAGAAATACTATCTTCTATTAAAAAAAAAAGATAAAATACTGAAATATTAATTACTAAACATCACTGTATCGGCTTTGGCTTCTTGTTACAGAGAACCCAGACGCTGCAGTAGGCCTTATGCGTAATTGAAAGATTCTATTGTGGAGAAGCACATGTTTCCAGAAATTAGGAAATGTATTCATAAACTGAGTTAAAGAATTCTGGTGTAATAGTACACACTCATTCACTAGCTAGTTTACACTGGAAACTAAGGTTCTAAGTAAAAATTCTGATAAATGTAATCAGGACTGCCAGAAAATGATAACCTTGTATGCAAGGAAAATAAGTTATGTTTTTGATAAGAAAGGCATGAAGAACAGGAATATATTTTTGTTGAAAAGAAAGTAATTTTATCCTAGAACAAGACTGATTATTTAGAGAGAGAAAGCTAAGGACAAAATGCATGAAAAATTCATGAATGAAAAATTTGTAGGAGGTTTGTGAAGGGGAATCTTTGGAAAATAATTGTATGTATTGCCAGGACCAAGATTTGAAATGAGTGATTTTTTTTTTTATAAATTAATTTTTATTGGTGTTCAATTTACCAACATACAGAATAACACCCAGTGCTCATCCCGTCAAGTGTCCCCCTCCGTGCCCGTCACCCATTCACCCCCACTCCCCGCCCTCCTCCCCTTCCACCACCCCTAGTTCATTTCCCAGAGTTAAAAGTCTTTATGTTCTGTGTCCCTTTCTGATATCTCCCACACATTTCTTCTCCCTTCCCTTATATTCCCCTTCACTATTATTCATATTCCCCAAATGAGTGAGAACATACACTGTTTGTCCTTCTCCGATTGACTTACTTCACTCAGCATAATACCCTCCAGCTCCATCCACGTTGAAGCAAATGGTGGGTATTTGTTGTTTCTAATGGCTGAGTAATATTCCATTGTATACATAAACCACATCTTCTTTATCCATTCATCTTTCGATGGGCACCGAGGCTCCTTCCACAGTTTGGCTATTGTGGACATGGCTGCTAGAAACATCGGGGTGCAGGTGCCCCGGCGTTTCATTGCATCTGAATCTTTGGGGTAAATCCCCAACAGTGCAATTGCTGGGTCGTAGGGCAGGTCTATTTTTAACTCTTTGAGGAACCTCCACACAGTTTTCCAGAGTGGCTGCACCAGTTCACATTCCCACCAACAGTGTAAGAGGGTTCCCTTTTCTCCACATCCTCTCCAACATTTGTTGTTTCCTGCCTTATTAATTTTCCCCATTCTCACTGGTGTGAGGTGGTATCTCATTGTGGTTTTGATTTGTATTTCCCTGATGGCAAGTGATGCAGAGCATTTTCTCATGTGCATGTTGGCCATGTCTATGTCTTCCTCTGTGAGATTTCTGTTCATGTCTTTTGCCCATTTCATGATTGGATTGTTTGTTTCTTTGGTGTTAAGTTTAATAAGTTCTTTATAGATTTTGGAAACTAGCCCTTTATCTGATATGTTATTTGCAAATATCTTCTCCCATTCTGTAGGTTGTCTTTGAGTTTTGTTGACTGTATCCTTTGCTGTGCAAAAGCTTCTTATCTTGATGAAGTCCCAATAGTTCATTTTTGCTTTTGTTTCTTTTGTTTTCGTGGATGTATCTTGCAAGAAGTTACTGTGGCCAAGTTCAAAAAGGGTGTTGCCTGTGTTCTCCTCTAGGATTTTGATGGAGTCTTGTCTCACATTTAAATCTTTCATCCATTTTGAGTTTATCTTTGTGTATGGTGCAAGAGAGTGGTCTAGTTTCATTCTTCTGCATGTGGATGACCAATTTTCCCAGCACCATTTATTGAAGAGACTGTCTTTCTTCCAGTGGATCGTCTTTCCTCCTTTGTCGAATATTAGTTGACCATAAAGTTCAGGGTCCACTTCTGGATTCTCTATTCTGTTCCATTGATCGATGTGTCTGTTTTTGTGCCAGTACCACACTGTCTTGATGACCACAGCTTTGTAGTACAACCTGAAATCTGGCATTGTGATG